TCTATTGTCGCCATAATCTTTCTCTTTTTTACCTTCTGATGCCTCCCTCCATCTTTCTCCATCTCCTTTCCTTCTCTCACCTTACTCCCTTTCTATCCCTCCACTCCTCTCCTCGCTCGAGCGTGACATGTAAGACACCTGACTGGCCTTGAGGTTCACCCCGAAGGAAACAAAAGTCACTTGTGTGTACATAGGCTGTCTCGAGGGATTTTTAATGGAGAGTCCGGGGAGAAGCGGAGGGAAGAGAAGGGGTGCTTCGAAATCTGAGGGACAGGAGGCCGGAGGAAGGTGATAGGGGTTCAGGGGCAGCAATGGAGGTGTCTGCCTTTATTAAAGGGAATTAAGGGAAGATTTACAATGGATGAGGAACAGTATTGAGATGCCTTATCCAGGATGGCAGCCCATTACGTCCGGGTCAGGACATGGAGTCGGTACTGACCCAAGATTATAGGAATGAGGTCTAATCATCAGATCAGCACATCAGCTCAGGAAATCCCATCTGCCAATGACCCGGGGTCGTGAGCGTCACTCCCGACGCCCCAGCACCTCACAAACCTACAGTCAGACACAAGCATAAAGATCAGATAATCTACAAAAAATTGGTCACTAAATCGGATATTGTGGCACTGATGGGAACAAGGTTGTATATAAGAACAGGTAAATGGATAAGAATGTGTAAATGATGCAGATCTCACACATGGGATTAGAGGTCCCTCCCAAGGTCGAATTGCTGATCTTCCTCAGGATCCAACTCAGTAGTTGACTAACTCCCGGGTACTTAGAATTACTGCTAGGTAAACGAGCCATTAGGTGAAAGGAAACGTGCTCAACCATTTCTGTCCTGTTCGGGAATCGGGCATACAATTTGCTATTAACTCTTGACTGATTAAGGAACTGCAGAGGGATAATTACAACACTAAAACTGAAAACTAAAATTGTAATAATTGGATCATTTAAATTTCTTGGATCTAAATTGGATTGAACTCAAGGCTAGTATATTAAATGTGAATGATTATCAACTTTAGCAGACTACCCTAGAATTTTTAATTTTCGTACAGAAAAATATAAAACATCTTTCTCAATGCATGTCAGGAACGCAGGAGCAAATTTAAATGTTATTGTGGTCCACATGCTCTTAGGAAGTTGAAATAAGTAAAATAAACATAATTAGTTATCGACTACAAATTCCTAACTGGCTACTGAAACCTTTAACCTCAGTTCTTTGGTTCAAGTTCAAGTACGTTTATTGAGTACTCATACCCAATAATCCCGTGAATGACTGCACCCCTTAGTCATACTAAAAAATCCTATGAATGACTTTGCACCTCGTAATCATACTAAAAAAAATCCCACGAATGACTTTGTACCTCGTAGTCAGACCCAAAAATCACGTGAATGACTGCACATATGCGCAGTCTTATCAACACGACAGAAAGGTAGGTTTATCGAACGATGAACGTGCAATCAAACATAGTGTTCCTCATTAGTCTTCTTTATGCCATTCATCAGAACGCAAGTTGTAAAGTTTCATACCTCGCTTGTGTTTTGGCCTCACTACTGTGACGCGATCACTTGACGGAAAGAGAAGCTGTCGCACATTGTCTGCGAGTAGTTCATTTGGGCATCGGTCAATGCCCAAATTTTCAATGATGAATTTTTCATCGATTATCGTTAAATCAACTGTTATTATAAACTCTTAACGAGTCTAAATGTATACTTATATACTCCCGTATCTGTACTTTGCTTTATTTAATTAAAAACTCCAATTCTTTCGATGACGGAATTTTGCCTTGAGTGACCATGCAGACTTTGTTTTGCAAAGTCACTCAAAACCTTGTTTTGAGTGGCCCATCTCTGACGATGACTGCTGTAACTTGCGAGACACGTCAAGTGCCTATGACGATGGCTGCTGTATTCTGAAATGTACATGCGTCGATGAGAATGGCTGCTGTATCTTGAGAAGTACAGTCGCCTCTTACGAGGACTGATGCATCCTGAGAGGTACATTCGCCTCTGACGACTACTGGAACCTGAAAGGTACAGTTGCGTGAAAGGTACTGACAATAGTTGTGCAACCAGCCTCATCTACACTCTTGATGATCAATGTGCTCTGCTGCCTTCATGCGTTTCCTCTCTGATGTGTTTCACTCGGTATACATTTACGTCTCGCAATGAATAAATCATGGCACCAGATTTTCTTCCAGTATACACGACGCATCCGCCATGATGTTATACATCGTCATAATAACAGTGCACGTTATGGATACTTCAACACAACTCAACGGGTACGCGCAGCAGGGATGACAAGTCGGGCGAGGTCCCACTCACTTACACAAACAAGCCATCAGGGCGGGTGTGGTCCAACCGGATTTTGCAGATTTTTTAGGTCCTCTGGTGTGGGGAACACACTGATGTTGGTGTTCTTCAGGTGTGGGAAAACGCCGGTGTTGGTGTTCCTCAGGTGTGGAGGAGACGCCGGTGTTGGTGTTCTTCAGATGGGGGGGAGACGCTGGTGTTGGTGTTCCTCAGGTGTGGGGGAGACGTCGGTGTTCCATACTGGTGTCTTGGTCAGGCTCCGCTGCTGGGCCAATGTTACTCGGGAATGTTATCTCCTGCCAAATTCTGTTTCAATAGGCTCCTTTAAAAAATAATCCCACAATATTTATAAATCTAACCTATAAATATGAGCCAATAGCCCAAGCAGACTAATCAAACCTTGCCGGGAATTCCAAGAGCTTGCAGTGTTGGAAGGTCTAGCGGCACCGGGTGTCCTCACACTCCGTCTCCTCCTTCACTCTCCAGTGGATGCACGCTCCTTGTAAATCATTGGAGCACCAGTATCCTCTCCCCAACAATTATGCAAATCATCATTCACAGACGTCATTAACCTTGACCTGTGGCTTGCCATCATCTCCAGGCTACACACCGAGCCTTCTGCCACTACGAAAGCCCTCTAGTCACGCCTTTCCTCTTCTAAGCAACATAGTACCTGGTTTTTGAGGTGGAATATTTGATATTAATAGAGACGTTTACTAGCACATTCCCATTGTGCAGTAAGCTAATTGCATTCTCAATTATTTGGTCGCTATGTTCTCGAAATTACCTTCTTGCAAGACTAGTAGATTCAGAACGTAACGGGGCACACAGTTATATGCTGTTATTGTAAATTCAAGAGAATAGGATCAAGTAATCAAACGCTCTAATTATCAAAGCATTTTGCACTTCGAAAAGCTGTTGTAAATTAGTGAGGCGTGGTTATGGACGGCCGCCCTGGTTGTTCGAACTTGAGTCCCAAGCCTCAGCCTTCCAAGAAGTGTTGTGCCTTATCATGCAGTCACGAACCTGGCTGCCCCCTCATTCTTTTGTCTTGCACAAATTTATACCAAGCAACCGGTCAACCAGGATGTAAACAAAAGGACCAGCCCTTGAGGATATTAAGGTCCGTGGAGGTAGAGCGGGAACACCAGTTAGTGTGGAGCAGCCTTCCTGTACGCAGTCAGGGCGGGATACCTCTTGCTGCTGTCCACCTGAACCAACCTGCACCCGCCTGAAAATACTTGCGTCTTGTACCGTGAGTTAACTTCAGGTGATTCCGTTGTTAATTAATAAACTGGAAATGCAACAGATACTGCACTGACATTAAATTGAGCTCATTATTGAGTTTTTAATTGCTTGAATTATTTAACTTCAACGAATAAAAACAATATTGATGTAACTTTATATCTAATATATGGAGTACAGACTTTGTGAGCTTATATGTCAAGTATATGGTTCTTATACACGATAATACACGGAGAATACAGTTCTTATTCTTAATAAAACATAAAGTATACGATTCTTATACACGAAAACACATGAAGTACGATCCTGACCCACTGTGTAAGTCTATAGGAATTATGTATAGATTCCGGACCTTTAAAGTACAATAATATTTTAAAGGAATTCCCAATATTAATATATATTATCCATTGCAAAAGAAGTTAGTGTTAAAGGCGGTGTCCCAGGACATGAATGGTTCCAGCACGGCTAGGTCTCTTGATCTGCCACAACATACAAAATACAAAGTGCTAACCTAACCAGAAACGTACGAACCCAAGCAACCCACCTAACCTAACCATAGAAAACGTGAATTTTTGTAGTACTGTAGTTGATAGGAAACACCTGAAGCTCCGGACTCAGGCTACACTATTGTAAACAGCCATGCAATGCTGTATTATAACTACAGCTAATCATGGTAAAATTTTGACTGTTCTTTTACTGCTGTAGTGATTTCGATGCTGTAACGCTAATACCCAACAGTCCCAAGTTCGACTCTCTGGGAGACGGTACAGCCTTAGTTACACCGAATGTATCTATTTATGCACAAGGAAAATGAGCGTACAAAACCTGATGCGTATTGATGAAATATACGTATATTTATCAAGTATATTTACTTGAGATATAATTCCCGCTATCCTCGACCAAACGGCATTATATTTAAATTTTCTTAGGTAAACTCGTACATTATTTGCTAGCCATACGACTGTTCAATTTATTTTTCCTTGCACCACTAGTGCAACTGGTTCACAAATATTCAGTCCCTGTTATACGAGTAGGAAAATTGTCCGTGATGGAAACCTAGGTCACAGGAAAATAGCATTTGTCTTGCAGCGGTTGACCTCAAGTAAGTAATTATCAAGAGAAGGCACCAAGCCGGGGTTGACCTCAAACTGTGATTTACTGCCTTCCTTGACAGAATTGAAGTAGGTTCATGCCTTTTCCTATTGCATTTTTCTCGTCGCCAAAGGCGTCAGAAACTTGACAATGAAACAGTCACGTACGAAATTCATTTGATTGGTTTCTAATGTTTGTTGTTCTTCAGGGCAACCATGCGTGGATATGGCGTGTTGGTGCTGCTGATGGGGACGCTGGTGGGAGCCTTGAAGGACCCTGGTATAGGCGACACACTCTCCCCCGCCATCAGTGGTACAGATCTTGGCCATGAGAGGAGCAAGAGACACTTGGTGGATGTCTTGGAGCACAAGTTACGACATAAGCGAGATCCTGGCAGCCCTCATGGATATGGCTTCTCCTTCAGAACTGGAGGTTGCAGCACGTGTGGAGGAGGCGGCTTCCAAGGAGGAGGAGGAGGAGGGGGAGGAAGCAATGGGGGAGCAGGCTATGGATACGGAGGTAGTGGGGGAGGCGGCCATGGATGGAGAGCTGGTGGTTCAGGAGCAGATTTCATAAACACATTAGGCGGATTTGTAGCAGGTGGTCTTGGTGGAGGTGGTTTTGGTGGAGGTCTTGGTGGAGGTGGTGGTGGTGGATGCGGTGGAGGAGGAGGAGGGTGTTCCGGTGGAGGTGGTGGAGGAATAGGTGGTGGTGGTGGCGGATGTGGTGGAGGAGGGTGTTCCGGCGGAGGAGGACCTGGAAGCAGCGGTTATGGAGGTTCTGGATCAAGAGCGTCCAGCAGCAGCAGTTCATGGAGTAATGCCGGAGCATATGGCAGTGCCGGAGCGAGCAGTAGCAGCAGTGCATCGTCAGCAGCCAGCGGGGGCTCCTACGGCGGCTGTGGGTCAGGCTGCAGAGGTCGACGGTCAGTGGCGGGAAGAACCAGAAGGGAAGTCAAGAAGTTTGGCAGCGGTTCTGCTAGTGGATCGTTTTCCTTCAGCGCGTCTGGAGGATCTGGATCAGCCAGTGGTTCTGAAAGTGCTTCTGGGTCACACTCGGGCTCCGGGTCTGGATCCTTTAGTGGTTCGGGAGCCTTCGGTGGTTCTGGAGGAGGATCAGGAAGTGGTTCTGGATCCTTCAGTGGTTCTGGAGGAGGATCAGGAAGTGGTTCTGGATCTATCAGCGGTTCGTGGGGTGGATCTGGCCACGGAACAGGTGGTGGATCAGGTCACGGAACAGGTGGAGGATCAGGTGGTGGATCTGGGCATGGAACAGGTGGTGGATCAGGTCATGGAATAGGTGGAGGGTCAGGAGGTGGATCTGGGCATGGAACAGGTGGTGGATCGAGTCATGGAATAGGTGGTGGGTCAGGTGGCGGATCTGGCCATGGAACAGGTGGTGGATCTGGGCATGGAACAGGTGGTGGATCAGGTCATGGAACAGGTGGAGGGTCAGGAGGTGGATCTGGGCATGGAACAGGTGGTGGATCAGGTCATGGAATAGGTGGTGGGTCAGGTGGCGGATCTGGCCATGGAACAGGTGGTGGATCTGGCCATGGAACAGGTGGAGGATCTGGCCATGGAACAGGTGGTGGATCTGGCCATGGAACAGGTGGAGGATCTGGCCATGGAACAGGTGGTGGATCTGGCCATGGAACAGGTGGTGGATCAGGTCACGGAACAGGTGGTGGATCTGGCCATGGAACAGGTGGTGGATCTGGCCATGGAACAGGTGGTGGATCTGGCCATGGAACAGGTGGTGGATCTGGCCATGGAACAGGTGGTGGATCTGGCCATGGAACAGGTGGTGGATCTGGGCATGGAATAGGTGGTGGATCTAGCCACGGAACAGGTGGTGGATCGGGTGGCGGATTCGGTGGTGGATCGGGTGGCGGATTCGGTGGTGGATCGGGTGGCGGATTCGGTGGTGGATCGGGTGGCGGATTCGGTGGTGGATCGGGTGGCGGATTCGGTGGTGGATCGGGTGGCGGATTCGGTGGTGGATCGGGTGGCGGATTCGGTGGTGGATCGGGTGGCGGATTCGGCGGTGGATCGGGTGGTGGATCAGGAAGCGGGTTAGGTGGGTCGGTGGGCGGGGGCGGCGGGGGTGGCGGCGGCTGGTCTGGAGGCGGCGGGCAACAGGCCGGAGGCAGCGGGGGCGGCTACGGGGGCGGCGACGGCTCCTGGGCTACAGGCGAGGCCTACACTGGCGGACAGTCAGGGGTGAAGGGTGTGAGGGTGGGTGTCAAAGGTGACGGCCGGAAAAGTGTTAGCGTGGCTGTGAAGAGCAGTGATCAGGTGTAGCCTCAAGCTCGGTTCACACTGATTCAGTATGGTGCTCTTGTGTTTCACACTGCTTCACTGTAATGCTCTTATCTATCTATGTAATGCTCTTGTCTTTCTATGTAAGGATCTTGTCTCTGAGTAATGCTCTTGTCTTTCTATGTAATGCTCTTGTCTTTCTATGTGATTCAGTGTAGTTCTCTAGTAGGGGAAACATCATGACTTGCTTTTAAAATATTGATTTACAAACTAGGAAGTATTGTATAGTTTAATATGTACAAATACCCCGGGGACAGCCAGGTATCAACAGTTACAAATATGTGGTAATAATTAATTATAAGTCTTTCTTATTAATTACATTAATTATAAGTCTAATTAATATTAATAATAAATAAGTAATTATATTAATTATAAGTAAGGTGGAATTATAAGTCTTTCCTTATGACACAATGAGCTACTGAGAGACAGAATACTTGGGAGCTACAAGCATTTTGCCCCAAGAGTGTAACACTTATATGTTGTGTTTACTATATTAACCTACAATGTTAAATGTGATTCTTGTATTGTGATTTGTGGAGTTGTACTCACTGGATTTGTGCGCCCCTTGAGGGACTTGAAGTAGAGGAGGATAGAGATAGCCTAAGCTACTCTAGCCCCTTGAGATGTATTTTGTTGTCTCAATAAATGTACTTGTACTTGAATTGAACGTGAGTTGCTGAATATTGGATCCCGATTGGTGTCTTGTAGCAAGTGAAACACCTTGGTGACCTGAGTGAAACACATTGGTGCCCTGAGTGGAACACGATTGGTGCCCTGAGTGGAACATTGGTGCCCTAAGTGGAACAACATTGGTGCCCTGAGAGAATCACCATGTATACAGCCAGTGGCAGGTACCACAGGGCGTGGGGTGCTCCACAACACTCTGCCCCTCAGCAAGTGAACTAGTGTGCTGTGACTGCACACAGTCCGCCCCACTACACCCAGACAATAAAGCACTCATCCAGTGACTCGTCTACTGGCCCCAGTACCATTCTGTTTCTCTCTTCACCAGTTTTGTATGAAACAAGGGGGTTTCTTATGAAATGGGCTATTCACATTGATTTTAAATATCCTAGATTCCTTTACTTATGTGAATTTATATACTAGATAAGTAAAAGAGTAATTTCAGCAGCAAATTTAATGTCTTGAGTTTACAAATGTAGCAATAATTATGTAAAAGTAAATAAATGAAAATTGATGACTAGGCTTTTAATCTTATTGACTTTTCAAGTGTAAAGTAAATGTTCTAGTTTAATTAGTAGCCATGTTAATTTTCATACTGCATATTAAAAATGCCTGCAACATAATTTGCATATGTAAATTATGTTGTGGGTCTATGTAAATTTACTTAGAATCAAATTAACATAGAGAATTAATGTAATCTAGCTGGTAATATTTTAATTGGCATATAAGTTCCAAGGGCGTTTGGTGTTGGTTTAGTGATATGCACATATAATTAACATAATTTAAGCGTTATATAGTAACTAATTGTGCGTGAAGGCTGTGCCTTTGTTAAACCTATATCTAACTATCACTGAGGTAAAGCCATGTTTCAGTGTTCCAGACACCATTGGTGCCATTTTTTTTTTTTTTTTTTAGGGATATTCCTGCGCGGGCCCTAAGCCTCTGGCTGACCCACTAAGTGTTGCTTGTTTCTGTTTTACTTGGACGGAGTATGAGTATTTATGACTCGTATGGTCGCTTCAGTAAGATTTTGCCATATGTGTTTAACAATTTCTTCTGCTCTGTTGAATCTAAGTTGAAATCTTAATGGGTTTGTAACTGTGCACTGTGTTAGATAATGTTCCAGTGGTCTGTCGGGCATTTCTCCAGTGTTGACATTTCCTCTCATCTTCCGGAACCTGTAAGCCAATGATTGTAGGAGGCTCCATACACTTGAGGCCATGTTTATTTGAGAGCTGTATTCTCGGTATTCAAGTAAATTCGACATTTAACATTCAAAAGTTTGATGGCCCTCCATTGATCCAGAGGAAAGATAGTAGACCCGCTAGACAACTAATAGCTAGTTAGGCAGCAATCACCTCACCCTATTCTTCGGCGCTCTCTACGATTATGGAGGGCTTAAAGGGGAGGTGAACCCACACTTATAAATGTCTATATTTCTGCATGTAAGCTTTGTATACCCGTGTCTTTAATATAAAGACACATTTAGAAGTCCTCGTGGTGTAGTGGTTAAGACTCGCCTAACGTTTGTCCTGGGTTCGTATCCTGGCCGGGGAGGATTTACTGGGCGTCAATCCTTAACTGTAGCCTCTGTTTAACTCAACAGTAAAATGGTCGGTTTATAAACGATTTGGCGGTGTCGTATTCCGGGGCATAGGATTAAGGGCTTGCTCGAAACGCTATGCGTGCTAGTGGCTGTACAAGAATGTAACAACTCTTATATATATATAAATAAATAAATAAAAAGTAAAGTGTGTACAAGTATTTCTGAAGATGTCACATTGCTGCTGAAGCGTCGGACACTAAAATGGAAAGATTAAGTGATTATTAGTTTCTTCGCCCTCTAGATGGTACGTAGAATGAAAAATATACATAAGAAAATTAACAATAGCCACTCTGCTGCTGTGTTTAAATGCATGTATATTAGAGAAATGACACTTATGTTCCCCAAAATTATACTAATACACACACACACACACATATAGGCCGAGAAGTGCGTTCTGGCTACTAGGTATATATATATATATATATATATATATATATATATATATATATATATATATATATATATATATATATATATATATATATATATAAAGTTGCAGAAGAAATGAAGTCTTTATACAGTAAGTGTGATCTTGAGTCCATCACAGAAATACAGGCAATGTAATTACAAATACTTACATATGATCATAAAACCCAATATACTCGGTCACGTAATTACGTTTATGGTTTATTATCTTATATAGTTATAAAATTTTAGCAGAAGTGTATATATATATATATTCTTTATGCTTAGGTCTCCCAAGGTTGAATTACTGACTTCCAGGATGCAAGACGGGGTGAGAATAGCTCGAGCTACCTCATCCCTCTGTGTATATTTATAACTCAATAAACGTATTTGAATTTTGAATCCCCAGGATGTAACCATAACAGTTGGTTAACTCCCGGGTACCTATTTACTGCTAGGTGAACAGAAACATTTGATGAAGGCAAACGTGCCCAACCATTTTTGTCCCGCCAACGGACGGAACCCGGGGTTGTGAGTAGAGAACGCAGCCATTGTATTACACATTTATTTTATCTAGTGAGTAATTATCAAAAGAAGGCACCAAGTCGGGAGGATTATGTAGCCCCAATTATTTGGTGTAAAAGATATATAAATGTCTTCACAATGATCATTAGGTGCTTCTTTGTTTAGCCTTTACATTTTTTAGAAGTAACCAACATCTGGGAATCATTCAACAATTTAGGGGCTTTGTATGGCATTGTTAGCAGTAAATAGGTACCCGGGAGTTAGACAACTGTTGTGGGTTACATCTGTTATACTCAAATTCAGTAATTAGCCTAGCGGTACAAGCATGGCAGCCTTCATATTATCAACAGTCGTTAATCAATATAGTTTCACCAGTCTCGTAAATGCAGTAGCTCTCTTTGGCTCCGATTTATAAACGCCCTTCAAAACATATTCTCAATAATTTCGTTATTAAAACATATATTCGACTTTTAAACAAAACAGTATATAAAAATTCCATTTTCTTACTAAACATTTTTTGCTGCATATGGAGGCCGGCTCCCAGGTGATGACGTCCTGTTGGCGAGTGCGCAAGTCAGGCCGCGTCCCTGGCCTCTGCAGTCCTGGGAATCCTCGTTACCATCCTGAAATATATTTGCTGCCTCATCATTGCCTTCCTGAATAAATAGTCAATGCCCCCAGACAGGCGCTAATCAAACAAAGGCGGGGGTCCTGCTGCGATATTAAAAGCGCGGAAGAGCGTGGAGGGAACAGTCGCTGTGGAGCTCAGGCCCAGCGAGGGTAATATTGCCTTCTCCCCGGCGTACACTGTGAGTACTCTGCTACTTACCTCACTAATGTACTGAGGTTTTACGAAGGTTATTTATACGAGTTCCTTCATGGCAAAAGATCTCTATTAGAGTCAATATTGCCGATATGACGAAGGTAAACTCGTAATATTGTAGCATATAAAAGCTGCATGTTTGTAAAAGAGACAAAATACCTACGTTGTTGATGGCCCCGCTACCCTGTCCGTTCTCCATTTGCCACTCCGTAAAAAATGCAGCTGTTTTTGCCTAATCAGAAACGTACAAACCAAAGCAACTCGCCTAACCTAGCAAAAGGTTTTTGCTTATAGAAGTAAAGTTTAATAACGAGCAGTCCAAATTGATCTAATTCCTGGCTTGAAGAGGACTTCATTCCTATAAATAATTTACAACAAGCTTTATGCTTATTTCTGTATATATGTATTTTTGCAAGTAGAAAAAGCTATCTGAAAGGGATTTTGGTCTATACATGGCCCGGCAGTGGGGATGTTACTGTATAGTCTATACTAACCTCTGTGATGTAAATGTATTCTTTATCTTAGCTGTTTGTACAGTGTGACCACATTGTGTGTGCAAGTGTTGGGCTGTACTGTACCCTATCATAACGTAGGTTCACACTCCATGTAAGATATTCTTACCTGGGTTTCCCTCATGACACCCATTTATATAACAATTGAACAACCTGCAGTTAACTGTAGGAGGTTACGAGTGTTCTACTTTTGCCTGTTGATAATGTGTTCGGTTAGGCTATTGCTTGAAGTGACCTGCACTACCACCTACCCATTTCAACCCAGCTGGTCTGGCACATCCTGCAGGAACTTGTCCAGTTGCCTCTAGAAAACCTTCACTTTTGTACCAGTAATATTTCGTATATTTGGCAAGAGGAGATTGAAGAGCAATGCGTTCCGAATCTTTAATTATTTTTGACGAAAGGAGCGTCGAAATCCGTCTGTTTTGTGCAAAAGGAATATTTATCTAATTGTCCCATATTACTCTATTTAGTCATTTTTCTTGAGGTAGGGACTTATAGAGGAACTAAATAAAGGAAAGACATTTTGTGAAGTTTGAAGAATACACACAGACCAGTCACATCTCTGCGTTGTAGAGTATGGATGTGGTATTGAGTTAGATACATCAAGTTTATTTCATAATAGCTACAATGAAGGTCCTGTCTTGAATTTTTTATAACAACTTTAGATAAGGCTGTGCATGGTGGTGCATGGGGTTCAACCACTGCAAACTACTTCAAGTCCATCATTACCCAGCAAAAATCTGCTATCAGAACAATAACAAACTCTGCTTTCAGACAACATTCAGCCCCCCTGTTTAAATGCCTAAATATGCTAAACATAAACTAACTCCACACATTCTCTTGTGCCAACTACATTTACAAAACCCTGTTCTTATATGCGAACCCTGCTCTGAAAATCGCCCTGGACAGATGTAATAGGACCCATAATCACCAAACCAGAAATAAATATCTCTGATGTCCCCAGAGTCAAACGTAATCTGTATAAACACTATACAAATAAAGGGACCTAGTATATGCAACTCACTCTCTAACGAATTGAAAAGCTGTCCAACTTTTGCCTTATTCAAAAACAAACCATAAAGTTCATAATTTCATCTTCATAGTTTCCTACCTAGTGCTTTAAACTCGCACTGTATCCAGTGCTACCCAGTCCCCCAATACATGCACCTAAGTCATATAACTTTACCACTGTAATCATTGATATCATCTGATATCATGGTTGTTATATTGAGTGCATATTCTATTGCATTATTCCTTGAAATGATCCTCAAATTGTGCTACAATGACTCAATTGATAACCCTCAAATTTTACCCTAATGTACCTTGTTATCTTTGTCATTATAGTGTATTGTCATTATTGTGTCTTAATCTAATGTTTGTTTATTGTGTCAAAATTTCTTACAATGTACCTGTAAACATTATTTGTCAATTTTGCTGGAAATTATCTACTTAAAATTATCTGTTAGATTAAGGACCTGCCCGAAACGCTATGGTTGCTAGTGGCTTTACAAGAATGTAAAATCATCATTGCTATGTACTCTCTTAACCCCCAATGTACCTTCTTGTATATAAATAAATAAATAAATAAGTAATTATGACAAAGTGGTAAGCTAACATTGCTATACAGTACCACTATTGACCGACAGCACGACGTTGATATGTCTCACTGTTGTTGATATGAGGTATATATAATAATATGCTCTATGCTATTAAAGAGGTATACCAATAATCAAAGGAATATATATTATAGCAACCATATGTGACTTAAAGTACAAATTCGATATTAATTATGAAGTAATTACGTGTATTATCAGTTTAAATGTCGCACAAGACTTTAATTTTTTTTTCCCTATTTTAGGCTTTTTTATATATTTGCTAATGTAGGTAATGTACTTTCTTTCGAAAGACGTTCCTTATTAAATTGTAAAGTAAGAATGTTTCAGGTCTTGTCAGGGGCTTCTGATGAGTTGCCATAAAGAAGTAAAACAATATTCGCACACAAATTGCATTTGTGACCGTCCATTATTAGCAAACCAATAAGAGTTATCATAATTAATCTGATTCCAGAGGAGAACATGCAGGGGAGCGCGATGTTCCTGTTGGTGGCGTGGACGATGGCCCAGGTCCTTACCGTTCCTGGCATCGTCAACACTGCTCAAGCTCTGGGTGTCGGTGTGAGGGCCAGCGGTGTGGTCAGCGGCGGGACACACACGACAGACTACTCCAAAGAGTACACCGATGACTCCAGAGAAGATGATGGCACGGTAGCTCACTATGTGAGTTCCGCCAAAAGAGGAGGTATTGGCCACGGAGGTCATGCCTATCGCGCAGGGCGGTCAGCGTCTCCCTTGGACTGGAACAGCGGGAGACTTGCTAGAGAGGCCAATAAGAAGCCGTGCCCGCTGTGCGGACTCGCTCAACAAGTCTCTGGAAGCGGTTCTGCCAGTGGATCCTTCTCTTTCAGCGGATCTGGATCCGGGTCTGGATCAGCCAGTGGATCCTTTAGTGGATCTAAAGGAGGCAGTGGATCAGGAAGTGCCTCTGGGTCAATTAGTGGATCTAAAGGAGGCAGTGGATCAGGAAGTGCCTCCGGGTCAATTAGTGGATCTAAAGGAGGCAGTGGATCAGGAAGTGCCTCCGGATCCTTTAGTGGATCAAAAGGAAGTGGTGGATCAGGAAGTGCCTCCGGGTCCATTAGTGGATCTAAAGGAACCGGTGGATCAGGAAGTGCCTCAGGGTCCTTCAGTGGTTCTTGGGGTGGATCAGGATCTGGAGGCGGTGGATCAGGTGGCGGGTCAGGTTCAGGAGGTGGATCAGGCTCAGGAGGTGGATTTGGAGGAGGAGCAGGTACAGGAGGTGGATCAGGCTCAGGTGGTGGATTTGGAGGAGGAGCAGGTACAGGAGGTGGATCAGGCTCAGGAGGTGGATCAGGCTCAGGTGGTGGATTTGGAGGAGGAGCAGGTACAGGAGGTGGATCAGGCTCAGGAGGTGGATCAGGCTCAGGTGGTGGATTTGGAGGAGGAGCAGGTACAGGAGGTGGATCAGGCTCAGGAGGTGGATTTGGAGGAGGAGCAGGTACAGGTGGTGGATCAGGTTCAGGAGGTGGAGCAGGTTCAGGTGGTGGATTTGGAGGAGGAGCAGGTACAGGTGGTGGATCAGGTTCAGGAGGTGGATCAGGCTCAGGAGGTGGATTTGGTGGAGGAGCAGGTACAGGTGGTGGATCAGGTTCAGGTGGAGCAGGTTCAGGTGGTGGATTTGGAGGAGGAGCAGGTACAGGTGGTGGATCAGGTTCAGGTGGTGGATTTGGAGGAGGAGCAGGTACAGGTGGTGGATCAGGTTCAGGTGGTGGATTTGGAGGAGGAGCAGGTACAGGTGGTGGATCAGGTTCAGGTGATGGATTTGGAGGAGGAGCAGGTACAGGTGGTGGATCAGGCTCAGGTGGATCAGGTTCCGCAGGTGGATTTTGGGGTGGATCAAGTTCAGGCGGTGGATCAGGTACAGGAGGTGGATCAGGCTCAGGAGGTGGATTTGGTGGAGGAGCAGGTACAGGTGGTGGATCAGGTTCAGGAGGTGGATTTGGAGGAGGAGCAGGTACAGGTGGTGGATCAGGTTCCGCAGGTGGATTTTGGGGTGGATCAAGTTCAGGCGGTGGATCAGGTTCAGGCGGTGGATCAGGTGCAGGAGGTGGATCAGGCTCAGGCGGCGGACGTGGCGGTGGATCAGGATCAGGCGGCGGATTTGGCGGTGGATCAGGTTCAGGCGGCGGATCAGGTTCAGGCGGCGGATTTGGCGGTGGATCAGGATCAGGCGGTGGATTTGGCGGTGGATCAGGTTCAGGCGGCGGATTTGGCGGTGGATCAGGATCAGGCGGTGGATCAGGTTCAGGCGTCGGATTTGGCGGTGGATCAGGATCAGGCGGCGGATTTGGCGGTGGATCAGGTTCAGGCGGCGGATTTGGCGGTGGATCAGGATCAGGCGGCGGATTTGGCGGTGGATCAGGTTCAGGCGGCGGATTTGGCGGTGGATCAGGATCAGGCGGCGGACGTGGCGGTGGATCAGGATCAGGCGGCGGATTTGGCGGTGGATCAGGTTCAGGCGGCGGATTTGGTGGTGGATCAGGTTCAGGCGGCGGATTTGGTGGTGGATCAGGATCAGGCGGCGGATTTGGCGGTGGATCAGGATCAGGCGGCGGACTTGGAGGTGGAGCAGGTGGAGGTGGAGGATCAGGTTCCGGAGGTGGATTTGGTGCTGGTGGAGGTGGGAGCAGCGGTGGTGGTGGTGGGTGGCAGGGTGGTGGGGGAGGGGGCGGCTGCCTCACCAACAAGCCCGGAGTGAGGTGCACCGGCTCAGGAGGCTTCCAGACGGGAGGCGCTGGGGGCGGCTACGGCGGCGCTGACGGCACCTCCTGGGCTTCTGGTGGGGCCTACACCGGCGACTCCTCCGGGGTCAAGGGGATCAGAGTGGACGTCAAGAGCCCGTGAAGTCAGGAACTCGTAATGTAAGGACCCCATGACGTCAGGAACTCGCAATGTAAGGAGCCCATGACGTCAGGAACTCGCAATGTAAGGAGCCCATGACGTCAGGAACTCGCAATGTAAGGAGCCCATGACGTCAGGAGACCGTGACGTCAAGAGCCCGTGACGTCAGGAACGTCAACACCTTCACACCCAGTGTTTCTCACAATGTGTCTTCATGATTGTATCCATTTTAAACTCTTGGGAATAAAAATGAATCCTCAAAATGACTTCAAATTGAACCTTTATACGGATTATCAGGTCAGGTGTTGGACTTAGGGCTATGAACAGCAAGGGTTGTTATGGCCACACCTGGTTAGGTGACCTACTTGCATATTTTCTGTATTTATAAAAGAAGATTTCTATCTGCTTGTCTGTCCAAGCTTGGAGGCCAGGGACCAGATTCACGAAGCAGTTACGCAAGCACTTACGAACCTGTACATCTTTCCTCAATCTTTGACGGCTTTGGTTACATTTATTAAACAGTTTACAAGCATGAAAACTTTCCAATTAACTGTTGTTATTGTTATAAACAGTCTCATGGTGCTTCGGAGCGCATTAACTGTTTAATAATTGTAAACAAAGCCGCCAAAGATTGAGAAAAGATGTACAGGTTCGTAAGTGCTTGAGTAACTGCTTCGTGAATCTGGCCCCCTGACGCTTAGAGCTAGCCTCACCTAACTTTGCAGGATGGTTGATTGATGGTGGTTGGCGGCCATCTTCCCCTCTAACTGGACACGACTCCCGGTACAACCACAATGAATTTTGAAATTGTGCTTTTTTATGTATTTTAGCTGTTCATAAAATTATGTTCTGATGGCAGATTTCGCTCAAAAATAACACTTAATGATAATATTTTAAATATCCATCGTATTTTTCAAACTGCGTGTCAATTTGGGCAAAATATTAAAAATCTCCGTTTTCTCTTATGGTAAAATTTCCTTATAAAAATGACTAAGTTTAAAACTCCAGAAACAGTATTGCAATCACCCTCAATTACGCTCAAAAATAGCACTCAAGTATAACATTTCAAATAACCATCGTATTTTTCAAATTGCGTGTCAATTTGGGTAAAATTGGGACCAACACACACCGCTCACCTGCGACGTTCTCTTGCTTGGGGAAGGATGATGTGTTTGTGGGGGGTGAGGGAGGGGGAATTTTGTGGGGAGGAGGGGGGGGAGATGGGTGTGTGTACTCACCTAATTGTGCTTGCGGGGGTTGAGCTCTGGCTCTTTGGTCCCGCCTCTCAACTGTCAATCAACTGATGTACAGATTCCTGAGCCTACTGGGCTCTATCATATCTACATTTGAAACTGTGTATGGAGTCAGCCTCCACCACATCACTGCCTACTGCATTCCTCTGACACTGAAAAAGTTCTTTCTAACGTTCCTGTGGCTCATTTGGGTGCTCAGTTTCCACCTGTGTCCCCTTGTTTGCGTACCACCCGTGTTAAACAGTTTATCTTTATCTACCCTGTCAATTCCTCTGAGAATTTTGTAGGTATTGATCATGTCTCCTCTTACTCTGCTGTCTTCTAGTGTCGTGAGGTGCATTTCTCGCAGCCTTTCTTCATAACTCATGCCTCTTAGTTCTGGGACTAGCCTAGTGGCATATCTAAACTTTTTCAAGCTTCGCCTTGTGTTTGACAAGGTACGGGCTCCATGCAGGGGCCACATACTCCAGGATTAATCTTACATGTGTGGTATACAAGGTTCTGAATGATTCCTTACACAGGTTCCTGAAGACAGTTCTGATGTTAGCCAGCCTCGCATACGCCGCAGATGTTATTCTTTTGATGTGGGCTTCAGGAGACAGGGTTGGTGTGATATCAACTCCTAGATCCTTCTCTCTGTCCGTTACATGAAGGACTTCATCTCCCATTCTGTATCTTGTGTCTGGCCTCCTGTTTCCACTGCCTAGTTTCATTACCTTACAGTTACTCGAGTTGAACTTTAGTAGTCATTTGTTGGACCATTCATGCAGTCTGTGTAGGTCATCTTGTAGTCTCATACTGTCTTCCTCCGTCTTAATCCTCCTCATATTTTTTGCATCATCAGCAAACAATGAGAGGAATGATTCTATACCATCTTGAAGATCATTTACATATATAAGAAACATTTTAGGTCCAAGGACTGAACCCTGCGGGACTTCACTGGTGACGTCTCGCCAATCTGAGACCTCACCCCGCACAGTGTCTCGCTGTCTTCTGTTACTTAGGTACTCTCTTATCCAATGAAGTACCTTCCCTTGGGGGGGGGGCAGAAGGAGGAGCGGGATGTGTGTGTGTGTGTGTGTGTGTGTGTGTGTGTGTGTGTGTGTGTGTGTGTGTGTGTGTGTGTGTGTGTGTGTGTGTGTGTGTGTGTGTGTGTGTGTGTGAGGAGAGAGAGAGGGGGATGTGTGAAGTGAGGAGAGGAGGGGTATGTGTGCGTAGAGGAAAGAGGGATGTCTGTATGAGTGAGGAGGGTATATGCTGGAGTGTGAGAGGGGGAGTGTGTGCGTAGGATGGGAAAAGGGGGGGATGTATGTGTGTTGGGGGAGAGGGAGGGGTTTCTGTGGAAGAGGAGGATATATGTGGGAAAGGGAGGGGAATATGTATGGTGCAGGAAGGAAGGAATGTGTGTGTGTGGGATGTAGGGGGATATGTGTATGGGGGAAGAATGAATTGTGTGGGTGGAGGAGGGAGGGAGATGTGTGTGGGGGGGACGGAGAATCATGAGTGTGTATTTTGGAAGGGAGAAAGATGTGTGGGGGGGGGGGAGGTCTTTTGGGGAGGGGTGGGCTGGGGTGGGGGGGAGAGTTTCTAAGAACACCGAAGGACATGTTGACAGAGTGGTGGTGTGGACACAGTCGGGGATACAGGGAAACATTACTCAGCAATCGAGGCCCTACACCCGGCTCCATCACACGGGTTCCTTAATACCTACTACACTCGCGGGCTGGTATACCGCTCTCATAAACTGAGCTGCTCCGCTCTACACCTTAAAGCTGGCTGCAAGTGTAGAGCATGTGTAGGTGGTCTCGGCGGGTGGTCATGGAGGGCGGGCGTCAGCTGGCTGCTGCGCGGGAGATCCCTCAGCTGTGCCGTGTGCCTCAACCGTCATGGACACGCCAGTGGCGTGTCCATGACGTCACAATGTAGGACACACCAGTGGTGTGCATGACGTCACAATGTAGGACACGCCAGTGGTGTGTCCATGACGTCACAATGTAGGACACGCCAGTGGTGTGTCCATGACGTCACAATGTAGGACACGCCAGTGGTGTGTATGACGTCACAATGTAGGACACGCCAGTGGTGTGCTTTTCTATAATAATGTGTAACGTTTCTGTATTATTGCGAAAATGTCGTGAAACTCTATGGACTCAGTAGCCACCATTTCATATCCACCGACCATTGGGGTCAACTCCCCTAAGATGGGGCAATGGGGCCCACCCTGACCTGCCTATGACAGTCCCCTAACACCCTGAAGGGTTTAAGAAGACTAGCCCCGAGCGTCTGAACTTCAGCTGTGGAATGACAGACATTGTGTTTTATAAGTATAGCCGGTAATTAATTAATTATGATGCCAGACACTAAATTTTCTTTAACTTGATGGGATTCTTTAAAGCCCAGACAATACCACATCTACTGTCATATATATAACCTACACTGTGTTTCACAAGAACGAATATCCGAATGGTTTCTATTGAGTTACGTAAAGCGTGAGACACTGTTCACCGTTATAACTTCCTGAAGCTACACCTCTGGAGTTAGTATCAGTCTATCACTTTCATTCAATCTCAACTTAAAGCTGGCATTCCTGCCACGCATACAGGTCACGTCGTACACAAGATGATGCGTCAGAGGATTTCGAAGCCTACCTAACGTAACCTAACCTAACCTAACCGGTTCCAACCGAGCTTAACGCAGTCTATCTTCTTCAGGTTATCTTGAGATAACTTCGGGGCTTAGTGTCCCCGCGGCCCGGTCCTCGATCAGGCCTCCTTTTTGTTACACACCCCCAGGAAGCAGCCCGTAGCGGCTGTCTAACTCCCAGGTACCTATTTACTACTAGGTGAGCAAGTACATCAGGGTAAAAGAAACTCTGCCCATTTGTTTCCGCCTCCACTGGGGATCGAACCCGGAACCTCAGGACTGCGAATCCGAAGCGCTGTCCACTCAGCTGTCAAGCCCCAAGTCTAACTTAAGCCAGTACATCGCAACCTAACGATACGGTTTTTGATGATGAGAAAACGAGATTTGTGGAGCCATGTTGTGTAGGAGCTGCCCACACCCCAATGTCACTACTGCCTCAACCACACTGATCAAACACGGCCGCTCCTCATGGCGGCCATGAGTCCGCTCTCTTAACTGTTCCCTTTGTCGGAGACATTTTGTTAGGCCTATCAAAGCTCCCCCAGGCCAAGACTGACTCTCCCCACGATGCAATCCACAAAAACTGATAAATTTATGGGTTTAGGGACCTGGCGGCTGAGTGGACACCACTCAGGGTTCGTAGTCCTAAGGTTCCGGGTTCGATCCCCGGCGGAGGCGGAAACAAACGGGAAGAGTTTCCTTCACCCTGATGCACCTGTTACCTAGCAATAAATAGGTACCCAAGAGTTAGACAGCTGCTACGGGCTACTTCCTCGGGATGTGTAACAAAAAGGAGGCCTGGTCGAGAACCGGACCGCGGGGACACTAAGCCCCGAAATCATCTCAAGATAACATCAAGATAACCTATCTATTGCTAGATGAACAGGTGCATCAGGTGTAAGGAAGTGTGCCCAAACGTCTCGGCTTACCTAGAAAACGAACTTGTGTCCATTCGGTACATACTGATGACTAACTCTAACACTGTAAATGACATAAACTTACAGTGAACTAACACAAATACTCATGGATACCAAGTAAAAAACAAAAAAACAAATACAAGAAAGATCTGCGTATTAATTGCGAATTACATAAATACAAAATTAAATTGACACACTTCCATTTAACACAGACCTAAAAAACGTATTAAATTCAATAAATTTCCTCAAAGATACTTTCACTATTAATATCACTGAACCACTGTGTAATAGTTAGCGCTGTCGTTTCACAACCAATTGAATCCGAGTTCTTTTCTCAAGCAGGCAAATCGCTTGGGCTTATTTCCTAACCCACATTCTATGAGGTCCAGGAGACCCCAGGAGGTCTTCACAATAGAGCAAGGAGACGCCCCTGTACTAAGAGAGGAGGCGTCAAACCAAGCATCCTTGGAGGAATTTGAGCCCACCAGTGATGAAGTCAAAAGGAAGCATAAACAGAAGAGCACAACTAGGTTAGTACATGATGTATGTGTTCACCTAGCAGTGAACAGGTTCCCTGGGAGATAACTGACTTCCTGTTCTAGACAAGGGAACCATAAATTGTCTTGTGCACCTAACATCTACAAGACTAAACTATTTCTAATCCTGACTTCTGACAATTTCCTGAACACTGCAAGGTACCATCTCGGTTTCATATTATAAAGAGCAAAATTAGATTAAAGCCATGAGAAGGATATTGGTAAGTACCCTATAAAACTAACCTAACGAGACTTAACTAGGCCTATTCTAACCTCATTTCATACTGAGTATTCCATAAACAGCTAAAGAACTCTTAGAAACGTGCTGGAACTCTATATATAGATCTGAATCTTTATTACAACAAACACTTACATTTAGCTCTGTACTACAGTAATCCACTGAAAATTTTTACTAGAGCAGAACCCTTAAACTGTTCAAGAACCTGAGGTTCACATATCACATGGGATCACATATCCATGGAACTTTTGCAAAGAATCTGAATCTATGTTCATTGACACTACCAGAGACTCAAGGACTGCCAGTTTCCAGGTTTCATCGTCTCCAAATGAATATGTTGACTTATTATGAGCAATCACAAGCACATGGTATGAGTGGCTTGTCACTAACGTGCGTGTGGATGAGAAGACTAGAATGACAATGGATAACGGTAAAAAGAGATTCAGATTTCATACCGCTTGACATCCCGGTTCCAACTGTTGCCTAAGTAACAACACTATTGCCTATAACTGTTGCCTAAGTATGCAACAGTTTTCAACTGTTGCATACTTAGGCAACAGTTGAAAACATGTACCAAAGAGGCATCTTTTTGAGCTTTGATGGCCTCATGTATAAACAAGTAGATGGCGTCGCCAAGGGTTACCCCTCTCTGTTTTACAAGGCTCCTAACAATCGACATACAACAAGGCTTTATCAAATATCATATTGTTTCTATCCTCAACCAGACCATTACAAGCGATATCCTGATCATCAACACTAAAATAATCGACAGACAACGACAATATAAGATTAGATATAGCCGAAGCACTACATATCAAACACTCTCATCCATCTGTTAACAGCCAGCTTACAATTAGGAACACCACACATTCCTCAAGACCAATACTGAACATGCACCTCACACACTACTTACTCCCAAGCCAACATCGACTGTGTAACACAATGCGTGTAATGTAAAACCTGCTAATATGTATCCACTTTCTTTTTGCTTCACGTCACGAGGTCTTGATTAACAGTGTTGCTACAGTTGAGAGATATGTCACTAATAGTTATGATAATATCTTTGTCAGGTTGTTTCACGGTCCTACGGTTTTGACTCGAGCTCAGAATCATGTTGTGGAATGCCAATTAATGAGATAATTGCACTCTTATAAAGTATACCACATGATTAATGAATATTTCTTTTCCTTACATTGAGGAAGTAAGATATTCTTGTTCAGACTCAAGGAATCACAGGTAAGTACACATTTCCAAGAACTTCCTCAATGTAATTTCCTTTCATTGAGGAAGTAAGATATACTTGTTCAGGCTCAAGGAATCGCAGGTAAATTTACATTTCCAAGAACCCACGAGTGACCATTGTCACCAGCCTGCCGGTGACTTCTCCATACAGTGTCCGTGGCTATTGGAGGAGTTAACACTGTCACTTGATTAAATATTGGCAACGTGACGTCAAAAGGTCAACATCGACCAAGTCTACGTGCGCAGTTTTTATGTAAAGTCCCTTTTCCCAATACAAGACATTGGTAAGGGATGAGGTCAAGGATACGATTGGAAATTATAAAGAGGCGAGATAAAAATGGAAATTTTATTGTGTATGCCTACATCTTAACGGAACATATGAGGCTTATACAGGGATATTTAATGAATTAGAATGGATAAGGTAAACACAAGAGAAGAGAGGCTTAACCCTCGTGGGTTCAGCAAGCATAGCAAGCCTCAGGTCATGGATGTAAACAAAGGTGGCGCTGCCTAGTATTTAACGAGGAGACTGGAGACGCACTGACAGTGCTGTGTGAGTCCTCACCAGCATCACATAACCTCTCTTCCAGTCTCCAGTTAACACAGTCGTGTGAGTTACTCATATCGTTAAAGTTGCATAAGTAATACCCACATGCATAACAAACAAGCAGCAACGGTTTCAAGCTCAACAAGCTACAATGTAGGACATAAAACAGATGACTTTTCTCCCATACAGTGATAAAGCAATGGAACCGCCTAGCCGCCGAACCCGTAAATGACAAAACAGTGTTATTTGGATCTTAAGTTACAACAGTAAAACTGAAGCTGTAATAAGTTTATTGTGTGTATTTATACCTCAGAAACTCATTTCAATTTCACTGCTGCAACTTTAGATACAAATAAATAAAACCATTAGGACAAATTGGGGGGGGGGGTACCTTTGACAAGCCGCCGGCTTCGTGTCCTCGTCGAGGCACTAGACAGTGGCCTTCAGTTCAATTTAGGTAATATTGCTAGTTCCTAGCCTTGAAGGTTGGGTCAGGATCATTGGTCTCTTGTGATCGTCACTTCATAATAGTTATATATACCTCCCACCGTGCCTTGCCATCGTCTCATTATAACGCCATCCATAAATATACCTCCCAGCGTGCCGGTCTATCCTCTCATCATAACGCTTTCATTATATATCTACTGCCATTCTACCCAAATAACGGATCGCTTAAACTTACAGACTTTGTTTACATTATTACGTCATGAAAATCGCGCACATCTTGCTACCTTCCAATGACTAGGAAGAAAACAAAAATAAAATTAAAAAATGAAATTAATAAATACTTTTAGATGTTCAAGAACTATAAGTAGAATTTACATATAGTACTGTATGTATAAAGTTAAGACTTCAACATTTATCTATACTAGCTACGCGTGGTAGCCGGTCACAGCATCATTTAAATACATCCTTTACAATTTTCAAGCAAGTCAGAGCAAACTTTTTAGGAGAATATTTAGTGGTGCTACAACTAGTGATCTCCAGTGGTGCCATAACTAGTGATCTCCAGTGGTGCCACAATTAGTGATCTCCAGTGGTGCCAACACTAGTGATATCCAGTGGTGCCACAACTAGTGATCTCCAGTGGTGCCATAACTAGTGATCTCCAGTGGTGCCATAACTAGTGATCTCCAGTGGTGCCACGACTAGTGATCTCCAGTGGTGCCACAACTAGTGATCTCCAGTGGTGCCATGACTAGTGATCTCCAGTGGTACCACAACTAGTGATCTCCAGTGGTGCCACGACTAGTGATCTCCAGTGGTGCCACAACTAGTGATCTCCAGTGGTGCCATGACTAGTGATCTCCAGTGGTGCCATAACTAGTGATCTCCAGTGGTGCCATGACTAGTGATCTCCAGTGGTGTCATAACTAGTGATCTCCAGTGGTGCCATAACTAGTGATCTCCAGTGGTGCCACAACTAGTGATCTCCAGTGGTGCCATAACTAGTGATCTCCAGTGGTGCCACGACTAGTGATCTCCAGTGGTGCCACAACTAGTGATCTCCAGTGGTGCCACAACTAGTGATCTCCAGTGGTGTCATAACTAGTGATCTCCAGTGGTCCCATAACTAGTGATCTCCAGTGGTGCCACAACTAGTGATCTCCAGTGGTGCCATAACTAGTGATCTCCAGTGGTGCCACGACTAGTGATCTCCAGTAGTGCCACAACTAGTGATCTCCAGTGGTGCCACAACTAGTGATCTCCAGTGGTGCCATAACTAGTGATCTCCGGTGGTGCCAAGGAAATATTACCCCGATAAAAAGATTTACCAGTACTTCATGCGTCAAGTTGTCATAAAATATATGCCTTTAATCACTGCAAAATGAAATTAATGCAGTAGAGTGATGAAATTTTTAACATTGTGAAATCGTTCGGGAAAATAAAGCAGCTTTATTTTTACTTAAAATGTACGTAAGTTACCATCTCTAGTGGCCTCGACAAGGACTGGAAGCCAGCGGCATGTCGTGCTTCCCTCCTCACTTCTCCCGATTTTATCCAGTTAGATTTTGAACTGCAGCAGTGTTTTTTGTATTTACGGCTTTGACGGGTAGGCAGTTCCATGGGCTCATAACCCTATGGGTGAAAAACATTGTAGCTTGTTGAGCTTGAAACCGTTGCTCCTTGTATGTACTGCATTTGTCCTTTTAAGGAAGTGTTCTGGATAAATATTCTTCAAATTGTTCAGTTTGTATCAATGATGCATTTGCTGCTATACATATATTTTCAGATATTTTCAACAAATTTTGAATTCCTTGCAGGCTCTGGGCGACTATGAGGACTTTGTTGTCGACGCGGCCGCTGCTGCTGCTGCTCATGGTGGCTGGCGCTGCCTCTTCCCTTGCACAGCAATATGGCGATGGTGACCCAGGCATCATCACCTACTCTACCGGAGGCGCGGGTGGTGGCTTCGTAGGACCAAATAATGGAGGAGGCTTTGGAAGCGATGAATTTGATAACGACGAAAGTGAAAGCTTGGAAAGCGGAAATGAAAACGGCGGAGGTATCGATAGCCTAGGCCACGGAGGCGTAAAATCACCCGGTGAATTCCTCACATCTCACCGTGATGCAAGGAGCTTCAAGCCAAATGTTGAACTTGGCGCTGCTTCTATCAACGTACGAACCGTTCGAGACCTCTTTGGTCGAAGGGGTTCATCTTCGAACAAACCAGGAATTGATGGTTCTTTCGGTGGAGGTGGTTCAAGTTCTAACAAACCCGGAATTGATACTTCATTCAGTGGAGGTGGATCGAGTTCCAATAAACCAGGAATTGATACATCATTCAGTGGAGGTGGATCGAGTTCCAATAAACCAGGAATTCATCTTTCATTGGGTAGAGGTCGTCGTTCAAACTCGAACAAGCCAGGAATAGATAGTTCATTCAGAGGTGGTGGCTCATCTTCGAACAAACCAGGAATTGATACTTCATTCAGTGGAGGTGGTTCAAGTTCTAACAAACCAGGAGTTGATACTTCATTCAGTGGAGGTGGCTCGAGCTCCAACAAACCACACTTTGGAGGATCATCATCCTCAAACAAACCAGGGATCCATGGCTCATTTGGAAGAGGCCGTCGTTCGAATTCAAACAAACCAGGAGTCGATGATTCGTTCAGTGGAGGTGGTTCAAGTTCTAACAAACCTGGAGTTGATGGTTCATTCGGTGGAGATAGTTCATTCTCTAACAAACCAGGAATCGATGGTTCATTCGGTGGAGGTGGTTCAAGTTCTAACAAACCAGGAGTTGATGGTTCATTCGGAGGAGATAGTTCATTCTCTAACAAACCAGGAATCGATGGTTCATTCGGTGGAGGTGGTTCAAGTTCTAACAAACCAGGAGTTGATGGTTCATTCGGAGGAGATAGTTCATTCTCTAACAAACCAGGAATCGATGGTTCATTCAGTGGAGGTGATTCATCCTCCAACAAACCTGGGGTTGGTGGTTCATTGGGTTCTCATGGTGTTACTTCTGACAGACGGGTTTCAAGAGCAGCTTCCAAATCTGGTTTGTGTAGTGTATGTGGAGATAGGCATCATACTGGAGGAAGTGGAGAATCTGGAGAACAGATTGGAGGCAGTGGAGGAGGTTTTGGAGGTGGTAGCCAATCCGGAGAACAGACTGGGGGTAGCGGAGGAGGCTTTGGAGGTGGAAGTCCATCTGGAGGACAGACAGGGGGTAGTGGCGGAGGCTTTGGAGGTGGTAGCCAATCTGGAGAACAGACTGGGGGTAGTGGAGGAGGCTTTGGAGGTGGTAGCCAATCTGGAGGACAGACAGGGGGTAGCGGAGGAGGCTTTGGAGGTGGAAGTCAATCTGGAGAACAGACTGGGGGTAGCGGAGGAGGCTTTGGAGGCGGTAGCCAATCTGGAGGACAGACAGGGGGTAGTGGAGGAGGCTTTGGAGGTGGTGGCCAATCTGGAGAACAGACGGGGGGTAGTGGAGGAGGCTTTGGAGGTGGAAGCCAATCTGGAGGACAGACGGGGGGTAGTGGTGGAGGCTTTGGAGGTGGAAGCCAATCTGGAGGACAGACGGGGGGTAGTGGTGGAGGCTTTGGAGGCGGTAGTCAATCTGGAGGACAGACAGGGGGTAGTGGAGGAGGCTTTGGAGGTGGTGGCCAATCTGGAGAACAGACGGGGGGTAGTGGTGGAGGCTTTGGAGGCGGTAGCCAATCTGGAGGACAGATTGGAGGTAGTGGAGGAGGTCATGGAGGTGGAGATTTTTCTGAAGAACAAACTGAACATCTTGACACTTCTTTGTCCGCGTCACGAACCACTCGAGACCTCTTTCGTTTAAGGGGTTCATCTTCGAATAAACCAGGAGTTGATGGTTCATTCAGTGGAGGTGGTTCAAGTTCTAACAAACCAGGAGTTGATACTTCATTCAGTGGAGGTGGCTCGAGCTCCAACAAACCACACTTTGGAGGATCATCATCCTCGAACAAACCAGGGATCCATGGCTCATTTGGAAGAGGCGGTCGTTCGAGTTCAAACAAATCAGGAGTCGATGGTTCGTCCAGTGGAGGTGGTTCAAGTTCTAACAAACCTGGAATCGATGGTTCATTTGGAGGAGATAGTTCATTCTCAAACAAACCAGGAATCGATGGTTCATTCGGAGGAGATAGTTCATTCTCAAACAAACCAGGAATCGATGGTTCATTCAGTGGAGGTGGTTCAAGTTCTAACAAACCAGGAATCGATGGTTCATTCAGTGGAGGTGATTCATCCTCCAACAAACCTGGGGTTGGTGGTTCATTGGGTTCTCATGGTGTTACTTCTGACAGACGGGTTTCAAGAGCAGCTTCCAAATTTGGTTTGTGTGATTTATGTGGAGCTGGGCATCATACTGGAGGTGGTGGAGGAGGCTTTGGAGGTGGTGGTGGATTTGGAGGGGGCGGCGGAGGTAATCATAATGGAGGTGGTGGTGGATTTGGAGGGGGCGGTGGAGGTAACCATAATGGAGGTGGTGGCGGCGGAGGTTTTGGAGGTGGTGGTGGATTTGGAGGGGGTGGTGGTGGTGGATTTGGAGGGGGTGGTGGTGGTGGAGGAGGCGGCGGAGGAGGAGGAGGTGGTGGTGGTGGTGGTAGGCCGTCCACTACCACCAACTCCCCTCCCCCAACAATACCCTCCGTCACCCCAGTGTACCGCTAGCTCCAACATATCACTCACCACCACCACCGTTTATACTGACCTTTCGCAGCTTTTACACCTGCATGTGTTATGTAATGTGTTGACTGGTGTCATGTGTTCACTGGTGGTTCAAAAAGATACTTTGGCAGAAGTTACAAATATTGTTTACTACTATTATCTTTCTAAATTATAATTGATTATTACAGGTGTACATGAGCTTATATATTTATATTTCCCTATATATTTTATACATAAACAAGTAACACCGGCATAGATATGCGTTTTGTACAATAAAAATTTGCTCAGTATAAGTCTTTTATTCCCGTTAGATAATCTCTCACACACCAGTATATATTAGTATATACAACAACCTATGTCAGACTAGAACTGGTGTATGCACCGCCGGCAAGGAACCCAGACTTTGTGAAACGGAAAAAGAAAATGAGAAAGTTGAAAGCGGCCGCCAGATTGATAGCGGTAATACTGGAAGCTGAGACTACAAGGACAGGCAAGAGAAGGCTGTGACCACTGCAGGAAACACCAGCCACAGTAGACATAACAAATACCTATTATACAAGACAATAAGATGCAAATAAAGAGTGAGGGATATAATGTTTTAAGTAAAGATAAGTAGATCGAGAGGTTAGTTTTAAAATTGGATGCGCATGTTCGCTGCAAGGATATAATAAAGTGTATATTTCACTGTATTTTTGTTTTTATTAACACGCAAATGGCCCAACCACTTGGACTGGATGGTAGAGCGACGGTCTCGCTTCATGCAGGTCGGCGCTTAATCCCAGACCGTCCAAGTAGCTGGGCACCATTCCTTCCCCCCCCCCGTCCCATCCCAAATCCTTATCCTGATCCCTTCCAAGTGCTATATAGTCATAATGGCTTGACGTTTTCTCCTGATAGTTCCCTTCCCCTAACAAGCTAATGTTCACGGTACTGTACGATACCCTAATCTATATGAGAGGTTACAGTTTTAGACAAGAACTATCTTAATTGGTTCAGCTAATATCCCCCATCTCGTAATATACTTTGTTATATACTGGATGTGAGTAGACTGATAACATGCACTCCAGGTTTATGATAACCACTATGAGTTTATCTCAATAATTATTAATTATATTTTTGTTGTAATGATTATAATAACAATTACAACTATTATTATTATTATTGTGGTGAAAATAAAATTAATTAATAATTATTATTCTTCCTTCTGCTTGGTCTTGAGGGAAGCCGGCCTCGGGTGAAAGGAGGCTGTGACGATCTCTTGTCTGGAACCCGTAGGTGCGGGACTCGGAAGTTCACCTCCTGGGGCTCTTGCGGCCCAAAGCTCTCCTTCAGGAGGCTGGGGTCGTTCTTGCCCTTTCTGGGGTGGTTCTTCTCCGGCCCCAACTACGGCGGTCTCCGGGTTTGGGGTCCCGGTGCATTCTTTTTACAAACTTCGAGGTATCCTACTGAACTGGAGCCCCTAGGGCAGTTCGTTGTTGCCTTTAACTTCGTTCTGGCAGTTCCTGCGACGCGCTGGAATCAATCGTATTGGCGTGTGCCTTTCCATTGGAGACTTTCAGCGCCATGGAGAGGGGGGTACCTACTGCTTGGGTGACAGCTTCTCCCCCATACCAACCTACCCTGGCTTTGCGCCATGGAGACGCCACTCCAGACCGACAACCAGCGCAACTCCACGGTCTCCTGAGACTGATGGATGCCTACTACTATGAGTTCATCTTCTAATGTGAAAAAGTAAATGAAATGGTTTCAAAGGTATCACATGCCATTTGGTCTAACATCATTGATAATTAGATATTCTATATAATGATAATGAGTGTGCTTTAGTTCATTTTCATAGTTTACATCTTAAGTTTTCAAGGTTGGGAGATAAATTGTGTGCCATAAGTAATATCCTAGCCTAATTTTGGTAATTACTATATCAGTCACACTGTCTGATTACCACAGATATAAACTACTTGGCTTGGCTTAAAGACTGTTGTGGTTCAGTTCTTGAAACACTTGTGCTATAAAAGACTATATATATATATATATATATATATATATATATATATATATATATATATATATATATATATATATATATATATATATATATACTGTAACTAGCCTAATGAGATTAAGCCAGGGTCTCCATGCCCCTTGGCAGTACTATAACCACTCTGCCACAGACTGTACAAAATATTGGGAAGTCGCCAAACTAACCCCCAATACCCGACAGCACTCGTGACTTTACAGGGCACAGTTCAAATCACATCAACATGCTAGGGCCGCATGAGCATCAAGTATGCGTCAAGCTTGAATGGTCCCCAGGCCAACATACATAAAGAAACTCTTGAACGCACAACGTGTAAGGAAGTTGGTTATAGTAATTAAGATAGTGTGTAGAGGGGGAGGGAATTATCAAGGGAAAGCGCCAAGCCATTACGACTCTCTATCAGTTGGAAGGGGTCAGGATAAGGATTTGGGATGGGACGAAGGGAAGGAATGGTGCCCAGCCACTTGGACGGTCGGGGATTGAACGCCGACCTGCATGAAACGAGACCGTTGCTCTACAGTCCAGCCCAAGTGGTGATAGTGCGTAAAGCTGAACATTGTTACAGTAATGAACATAGTAAGTAATGATTGAAGATCGTTACAGTGATGAAGCTAACTGTAGGTAGTAACTAAGAGTGATTGTAACCTATCCACCGCTGCCCACTGGATGGGGGGCGGTGTGCAGGACAAACAGATCAATTGTGACACTAGCTCTCTACATATGTCAGTTGCTTAATTTAGAAACTGTACTTGTGGTCGATCTCGAACCCATTGTTGATGTGACGACTTATACTGAATTTTGTAACTAGCTCATCAAGATTGTAACTTGCTTAACTAAATGAATTGTGGGGTTCAGTCCCTGAGCCCATTATGTGCCTCTGTAACCCTTTCCATATGCCTTTCCCTTTCCACTACCGCCCACAAGATGGGTATGGGGTGCATAATAAATGAACTAAACTAACTAAGTGATGAAGACATATGCAGTGAAGATGTGGCGTCCGTCATCCGACTATTAAAGTTATTTGAATCTAAATATTATTAACAAAAACCGTAATACTGTACCATATAGAAGGGAGTAATTACTGCACGCGAATGACTTCCTGCTGCAGGGCGGCGCCCGGGAGGTGAATCACGCCTCAGGCATTTCATACTCTACGCTAACCTATCACCTCTAAGTTATAACATTCTTTTGCATTATAGCATTATCTACTCTTCATATTATGTAATATGAAAACAAATTAACTGATTGTGGTAATAATAAACACATTAGCAATTAATTTCAATTTCTTATCGATTCAATTTCAATATGTATCTGAGCTTCTCTGCTTTGATTCCCGTGCAGAACGAAGACGTTTGAGCAACGTTTCCTTTTACCTAATGCTTCTGCAGTAGAAAATAAGATACCCGAGAGTTAAGCAAGGGTTGCAGGTTCAAGCGTTTCCTCTGGGAAAGCACACATGTGTTGGACTAGGTGGAGGGGGGGGGGGAAGTCTTGATAAACCAATATCAAGGCCTACCAATATCAATAACACACACAGCTAGGAGAAACCAATTATGTAGGGCGTACCATTTACCTGAGGGCCACCAACACAATAGTGGCCTCGACGCGGACATAAAGCCACAGGTTACCACAGATTTTCCCATTTGTCCTAATTATATTTTCAAATTGGATCTACCAGGTAAATTTAGGTAAAATTCAACATAATTTGACATTTACGGCTTCAGCGGGTAGGCGGTTTCATAGGTTTATACCCTTGTGGGTGAAAAAGGATTCTCCTGTTTTCAGTCCAAATGAACTAAACTAACTGTTTTCAGTCCTACATATTTGCTTATGTCCTTAATATTTGTATATGTCCTTAATACTACAGTTACTGCATTATATTTCACTTTATTAAGTATTACACTTACAGCATTTATAATTCTTTATAAATTAAAAAATATGCATTTATATTTTTATTAACAAGCTTAGGTATAGACAGCAATGTGCTGTTACCCTATTCTATATGAAAGATTACACAGTGTAGAATAAAAACTAACTATACGTTCATCTAATAATCCCATCTCACAGGATGGTTAGTCATACCTGTACAGTAAATAGTCAGAATAAGCACAATTATGGTTGTCATAAATGTGTAAAGAGTAACTTCGAGCACACAAAGTGCAAAGTTCCCGTAATATAATCTTATCACTATACACTGCAGATATTACACAAAACGAGCTAAACTATAAAATTATTTCTATTAGAAAACTGGAAGCCGCCCACCGCAGCGGCCCACAAGTCCCCGTGTGAGGGAACAAGTGAGCAGCAACCCTCCTCCACTCTATTTAACTAATTAATGCACATGCTGGAGGCAAATATTGCGGGAACTTTACAAGATGTTAATATTGTGAGAGTGGAGTGTGAGAGGAGGGAGGCTGTGAGAGGTGGGTGTGTGAAGGAAGAAGTTAGCAGCGGAGTGTGTTATGGAGGTGACGGTACAAGAGGACGACCCGGCCACTACCACTTATCCACCCAACAAGGGCTCTGAGGCCGCCCAGGAAGACCCAGTCTCCCTCAGACATGAGCTACTCCTTCATGAAATAGAGGCTATCGATGAGTACTGGGGCCCCACCTTCAGGTAAGGTTGAGAGGGGGGCGTGACAGCCAGGGAGCCTGATATCAACAGGTGACATGTCAGGTGTACTTCCTTCTCAAGGATATTGTAAACAGATCAGGGATAGCCAGCCTTGTATACCTCTACACACGGCAGTTTCAACACCTGCTTCATAGTGTAGGTAATTGCATTATAGAATAGCTAGGTGGGCAGCTCCTGTTTATTCCTAACCCAAACTTGCCTTAACCTAATAAAACGTGCCCAATAAAGTGTAACTAGTAATAACTAAGAAGATAAGTTGGATATGGGACCACATGTGTTTAGGACCACATATGTGCCAAGGCACTAAGTGAATACAGTATCAACTTGGCGTAAGTGAAGTAAAAATTCCAGTTCAGGAGTGTACTTTTGAATAACAGGTATTTTGTCAAGGTCTTTGGGAGTGAGAAAAGTGAGAGTGTGCCAGAAGGGTAACATATTTATAGAATGTTAGAGAATGAAATATAATAAAGAATAGAATGAGGAGAAAAGGTATACTCATTATTACTAAGGAAGAAGTTAGCTAACAAATTGATAGCCCAAAGCTAAGCAAATCCTTAAGTCCTCAACATGTATTTTTTAGGGCTATAAAAGACCGTAAGAGAAAGCTTAGCCAACTTTTGTCGAGCATATTCATTATATCACTAGAGTTGGGGAACATTTTCAAAATAAATACAGTACATCGTACCCAAGATGGTTCGGCACTGGATTTTAAAATGACAATACTGTACATCTTAATATAAATTATACAGCTTTTACAATTGGAAAACGAGCTTTTGTCAAATCGCCTGTGTTTTTTTCCTTCCTTTGTTTATTATTTGAATTTGTTTTAACCGTTACATCCTGAAGAATGCATACTCCTCCCTAACTATGTGAAGCCAGAATTAAATTGGTCACAAATCAGTTACAACTCTCAAAACTTGGGGACTGAATTTTTTTGGACTGATTTTTTCACAGATTTCAAACTCTATTTTCCTTGTTCTTTAGGTTGTTTTGATGATTAGGGACCAGATTAGGGCCTTTTTACTTATATAAAGTATACCCTAAATATATTCCCTAAATTAGTATAATTATCCCTATATATTTTTTTTTTTTTGGGGGGGAGGTTATTTTTTCTTGACTTCATTTCTACACACATTGACCTACAACTTTCACATACTTGAGTATGAATGCCAAACAATGTTTATTACAACATACAAGTAAATTCATGAATTAGAACTGCCTTATTTATTGTCGATAACTTGAACTTCAATTATATCTATAACTAGAATTTCAACGTGCATTCTGGTAAGTTGGTATCCAAAAATCTAGTTTCTGATCAATTCTCACCATTTTTACATATAGTGTGCACAGCTGTCTGTTCTACAATCCTTATAGAATTAATTTTTCATAAACTCTAAACGTTTGGGGTTATACATTTTTGTTGTCTAACTGTGCATATTTCAAATACCATATTGACAATTTTTTTTACAGTAAACTATACTGAAAACCTATATTCTAAATATATTAAAATGAAGATCATATGCTATTCTGAGAGCATAATAACACCAAATGAACAGTTGGTGGTATTTTTATATTTTTGCAGCTGATTTCAAAATCTGAAGTTTTCAATATTAAATTTTATAATTATTTTTTATTTTCTTTTTTCCAAGTTACAGTGGTAGCCTTTAGACAAAATTGGAGCATTTGCCTAGTAGATTATGCACAAAACATTTGAAAGTTTCAGAAAATGTTAAAAACTGAGTTCACTGTCACACATCATATGACATTTTGTGCAGTTTAAGGGTTAATGGGCGAGGTAAAGGTAGCATAGTGTGTCACTGTACATTGGTGATGTTTTCAATTGATCTGAAAATGGAAGTCCATATAAATGACCCTTGGGTGGGTGTGGCACTGATCTCCAAAATTATTAATTGTTACCCATAATGCACCTTTATAGGTGTGTGTTACTGTGGTTTTTGTACAGCTTAAGAATGAATATCCTCCAGAAAATGAAAATCAATTTATAATAAAATGTAACCCCTATACCTTTGAAAATAAATGAACGAGATTTTCATGTTCATGGTAAACAAAATACTGTAGATTATTTATTGTATTTTGTACTGTACTAGGTCACGTAGTTCAGTGGTCTATGTTCTCGACTTGGGGAGCTTGAGCTCGATCCCTGGTTGGTACAGAAACGGTTGGGAACAGTTCCTTTTACCTGATTTGTGTGTTCATTTAGCAGTAAATAGGTACCCAGGTGTTGGGCAAATGTTATGGGTTGCATCCCAGGAAGGTCAGTAGTTTGACCTAGGGAGACCTTGATAAAAACCAACATACAGGCTTCTTGTCCCAGATATTGGGAATTATTTTTAAATTATTATATTTTAACATTTTATTTTGGTATATTTAAAGTTCTTGAAATTTTTGTGATTTCATCCAAGCCAGCAGTGCAGGTACAGCAGGTGCTAGTTTTCTGGAAGGCCTTCTCTCATTGGCTTCCCAAGCTACCTAGGTTCGAAGCCTAATAAATCCTACCAGGCTCTCTTTATTTTGTTAAGTCATAAGCACCTATTGGAGACCAGATACAGGATCTGGTCCACTCATTAAATGCAAAGCGAGTGTGGGGATACTAGATAAACCAAGCCAAGATGAAAACAACCAGAAAGGTAGTATGTCCTAAACAAGCAACTGCATTATAATTTGCTTCATGTGCATGTTTTTTCTAGTCTAGCTTGTGTCTGACCTAAGTCTTGTTTGTCTTGACTTTCTGTGGCGAGAGTTGCCTGACCTGCAACCTGTTTTTGATACCTCACCTGCAACTTGTCCTTTAGTGCCTGACCTGCTGTAACAAGTAGAACAGAGAACAGTAATACGATCACTACTGAACGCTTAAACAACTGAATACTGGATGGGAACAGAGGGGCACATGTCCCTATAAAAATAAACACTATGAAGACCAAAGTTTGACTTAAGGTGTGAAGTTGATGAGCAGGGGCAAAATGAGGTGTGGACAAAACTGCTCGTGTAACAGTGACCTTGTGTCACCTTGTATGGGGGAGGAAAAGGAAATCAAGCCAGTCAAGAAGGTGTGAGTGTGTGTGTGTGTGTATAATAATATTAAATAAATAAATAAATAAATAAATAAAGATAGGGAGAGGGAATGAAGAAGGAAGAGCATAGTGAGTGTGTTATCTGTGGTCTCCTGAGTGACCTGGTTAGAGGTGATTACTCGTGCCAACTCACTGTAAGTGCACTTACCCCTTGTTCAGAGATGTTCCCAATTGCCTAAAAGTTTATATTTAGGATCCATGTACATTTTTCTACTTCGATTGCTGATAATTAAATTAGAACCCAAAGTTCAAGTATTAATCTTCACTCTTTCATTCTGTGGCAATTTCTGTCAATAATGATTAATAGATATTAATAAAATCTCTTTGATAAACTAAATTTTAATAAAAGTAAATACTGTACTGTACATTCATTCCCCTCCACAGTAAGCAAGAACAGAACCGGGTGTTACAGTATTGCTCTTTAGTGCCAGACCTGTGACCTGTCCTTTAGTGCCAGACCTGTGACCTGTCCTTTAGTGCCAGACCTGTGACCTGTCCTTTAGTGCCAGACCTGTGACCTGTCCTTTAGTGCCAGACCTGTGACCTGTCCTTTAGTGCCAGACCTGTGACCTGTCCTTTAGTGCCAGACCTGTGACCTGTCCTTTAGTGCCAGACCTGTGACCTGTCCTTTAGTGCCAGACCTGTGACCTGTCCTTTAGTGCTAGACCTGTGACCTGTCCTTTAGTGCTAGACCTGTGACCTGTCCTTTAGTGCCAGACCTGTGACCTGTCCTTTAGTGCCAGACCTGTGACCTGTCCTTCAGTGCCAGACCTGCGGCCTGCCCTTCAGTGCCTGTGTATAACCAAAATGTAAAAGGCCATCTTGACAGTGACTACCTATTGAATAAAAGCTATACAGTAATGTGGTTAAATGGCACAAATGTATATGACCTGGAATGTACTGAGCTTGACCTGCACCTTAATCATTAAACTGTATTTACAAACCAAAATTTTGCAAAACTAGCTATCTTCTTTAGTGCATGTATAGGTAAAAAATATGAAATATACTATACAGTATAGCAAATGTATAATTTAACACTGACATATACATTACCCCTACACTGTAGTAGACTAATTTCTACATTTTTAATATTTCCATAGCACATTGATATAGATGAATTTTTTTGGCAACTTATAATTGTATGGTGGTTCTGCGTACTGATTTAAAATGTGAACTGAAATTTCACTACAAATTAGGTTGGAGTAACATTGTCACAGAATTTGGTTACTATTCATCTAGGATTCTGGACCTAGCATGGGATTTTTTTTTGTATGGGTGTATCTACACTGGGATGCTTGCGGTTTGTAACTCATTCTTTTGAATGAATTTACTTGCAAAAGCTTGTGCATGCCATGCTATAGGCACAATGACCGATGCATCTACCATCTTGTAGATGTGCTTTCTGACCTTGAAATCTCAACATGGTCAGAATGAATTTTCCCATAGTATTGGGAAAGTCTCAACTCTCATCAGTTAACTAGTTCAACATTCTTTGGCAGGCATTTATAACGAGATACATGTTTAACCTGACCTCGCCTTCACTTTCACTTCAAGATAAGCAGCAACTGCATCGCTTCTGGAAGACTTGGGACCACTGCCCCATGACTGCAACCAGGATAGTATCCTCCAGCACTGAAGAATCAACTAGATAGATTATGTTCATCTTGATTTTGAAGAGACAAATTGTTCATCTCAAGACTTCACTAGTTTTTCCATCTCATTTTAGCGGGTTTATTGGCATTTGGATGGCTTTTTCCTGATGATGATGATTCCTCCTCCCCAACAGACATTGGTATATCAACTCTGACACAAGTTTCTCCCCAGGACACCAGCTACTTCCCCCTGATCAGTATTTCTTGACACCAGTTTTTCTCCCATCTAGCAGGTTGGTCCCCAGTACAACTTCGTAACCACCAGCATTTCTCTATCGGGCACCAGTTTCTCTTTGGGCACCAGATTCTCTCTGGGCACCAGTTTCTCTTAGGGCATCAGTTCACATTCCCTTCACTCTTTATTCCTAGCAATGATTAATTTAAAGTTTCAATGTGGGCCTTATGGCCTCTTGGTGCTCTCTCTAATGTGTGTGTGTGTATTCCAAAGTTGTTTTTAATCAGTCAAGCAACTTTGAAACATGTACAGACTAGACACACCTTGGAGCACACACATTAAAGTCCCCACAGACCCTGGGGACATGGCCCCATATTGAGAACCATTGCTTTAAATGGCACTACAATTGCTTATCTTCCTTGCATTAATTTCTCTACTATTTTCTTCTCTTCTGGTGCATGATTTCATTTTTTATTGATTCCTACCTATGATACTCATTTCTTTCCCTCTGATGTTTATTATCTCCTGGTTCTGCTATATTACTTCCTGGCACTGCTATATTACTTCCTAGCACTGCTATATTATCTCCTGGCACTGCTATATTACTTCCTGGCACTGCTATATTATCTCCTAGCACTGCTATATTACATCCCAACCTACAAAATTTATAGGACTTATAGTTTCAGTGGACGGAATGTACAAAATATGGATTACGTTAATCCTAAAAAGTTAGTTTTGGAATACTAAAGAGCAAACCAAACTGGAACAGAATAAACCTAAACAACCTGCAAAGATCTAAATAAGCAATGCTGAGCCTGACTTGCAATCTTAGGCGCAATTTAGTACATCATGTACTATACTAGGCCTAGGTAAAGTTAAATGTGATTGGTCCCATCTCTTGGGCCTTCTACAAAATGAATACTGTAAAATGCTACAAAATGTGACTCTTTGGGTGCAACAGTTCATATTTTGTACTGTACTTCCACCCTTAGTAACTATAGGTACTTTTTGTACAACAGGTTGCAATATTATCTCCTGGTCAGTACAGTCAGTTCACAGTTGAAAGGTCCCCTGTTTAATTTTCAGTAGAGACTTTTCCTTACACCTGATGTCTCTGTTCAACTAGCAGTATATAGGAACCCAGGAGTTAGGCAACTGTTGTGGATTGCATCCTGGGAAAGGTCAGTAGATGGCCTGGGGGGAGGGGGGGTGCTTTCATAATTATGCTGGCTTCTTGTCCCAATGAGATCATCTTTAGCACTTTAATTCTCTAATCTTGGCACTCCTTAATTATCTCACTCTGGCACTTGTTTATTATACTGCATTGTTTAATTATCTTGGCACTGATTATCTCATCCTGACACTGTTTTTTACTTCATCTTGACATTATCTCATTTTGGCACTGCTTAATTATGCCATCTTGGCACTGCTTATCTAATTTTTACACTGATTATCTCATCATTACATAGCTTGATTATTGGCACTGCTTGATTACCCCATCATGGCACTGCTTGACTGTCTAAACCTGACACTGCTTATTATATATTGCAATATTATAATATATAATATTATATAATATATAATTATATATTAGCATTACATGATTATCCCCTCTTGGCACTGATTATTATATCTTGGCATTACATGATTATCTCATCCTAGCACTGTCTCATATTGGCACTTTTTTTATTGTTTCCTCTTCACACTTTTTTAACATTGGCGCTGTTTGATTTGTTACAGTTAATCAAGGTGTACCAAGGTCAAATTGGTACACCTTGATTATCTTGCATTGGCACTGCTTTTTCCCATTGGCCCTGCTAGGTTCTCTCTCATTGACACTACTGTACTTGGTTATCATATGGCACTGCTTGAGTCTCTCGTCGTGGCACTGGAAAATTCCTCCCTTGGCCCCTCTGTTTGTGATCCCTCCCCACCCCCCATCCCTGCTTGAGGGGAGTGAGCGTTAAGGAATGCTTGTGAAGTGCATGAAGATGCCCGCACTCCAGTCTGCTGTGTAGGCCTAGCCACGCTCCATTCTGCTGTGTAGGCCTAGCCACGCTCCAGTCTGCTGTGTAGGCCTAGCCACGCTCCAGTCTGCTGTGTAGGCCTAGCCACGCTCCATTCTGCTGTGTAGGCCTAGCCACGCTCCATTCTGCTGTGTAGGCCTAGCCACGCTCCAGTCTGCTGTGTAGGCCTATCAACATGTCAATCATCTTGGTTAATGCAGCTTCACTTGGCAGTAATAGCGCGTCGACATTATTTTCTTATCAAACATACTAATAAACATATTCATGGACACCATAATAGTTTAGTGGGAATACTTGCTTAGTATATAAGTTTGTTGAGGTAGACCACATCGCGCACACTGTTGTAATTTTAAGTACAGCATTAAAAAAAAATCGCACGCGCAAAGATTAAGATGAATGTAATAACCTAGTTTGACATATACGCCTGTAGTCAAACGAGGCCTATGTAGCAAATTGGTAGCCTACTGTTAAATGTGGTACAGTAGGTCCTCACCTTGAAGGTGTGAGGACATGGTTGAGATAAGTGTTGTAGGGCGGCTGTGTGAGGCTGCAGGAGTGACATACTGTGGTTAGTGGAGGATATATCGACCCCAACCGCGTCTCCACCGCCCCGTGACACCACACTTATCACACACACACAGCCAACCTTCTCCTCCACTTGGCACTTTAAAGTGATGCGGTGTCAGTGTTATAACGGGTGTTGAGGTGGGCGTGTTACGGGCGTGTGAGGGATCAGAGGGTGCACATGCCGCCACTCGCCATGGTGTCGTCTGCAGCTTCCCGCCCTCATGCAGACCACACTCACTATTTGAAAATACTTCATAGTTTTTCCCTCAATACGTGCTAATTGCTATGCCATTCATGGTAGGAGGAGCTCTTATGAACACTGCAGACTTCCGCCGCAGACCTTAAGACCACGACAGCCTAGCGTCTGTGAGGACATCTAATAAAATCTTTGATATTGGGACGTAGTGTGGGTGGGTGAGGTGATGAGGGTGAGGTGCGAGGGTGAGGTGGTAGTGCGAGGAAGGTGGTCGCTGATAGCGTGAGGGAGGAGGACCTAGCATGATGGAGGAGGACCCCCACACGGTCACCCACCTGCTTAACGAGCTGGAGGGACCAGACACCAGCCGCGTCGCGCTCGTCATCAGGTGCTAACTCCCCACCAGTATTCTCTCCTTCCACTTGCCACTCCCACTAGCCTAGTCGAGAAAGTCGGACACCATTACTATACAATTCTAGCGTTTGAGGTTAATTTTTGGATATGATTGGGAGATTTGGAGTGGACAAGTTTGTACAGGTCAACCCCAAAGGGTTCAAACCTGACCAGCTGATGAACCTTAATGTGGCAAGGGGGGGGGGGGGGGGGTTACTCTAGACATTACTAGACTAGTATATTGAAAACTATTTAAAATTCAAAATGCTAGCTTGTATGGAGTCCAGTAATGTTTCTAGAGCACTTCATGGTAAATGACCACCACAAAGCATGCTGTACTTTTGAGGTCTTTTAGAGAAAAAACTTAAAACACTTCATATAGGGTGTTGTAGGCTAACATGCAGGGCAGAGAGAGGGGCCAAGTCAACCTCCCTGTGCTCTCATATTTATTACTGTAATTTATGCAACTCATTCAGTCAAAGCAAGACTTAATTTTGATGGAGAAATGAAGGATTGAATAATTTTTTTATAGTAATAATATTTATTATAAAATATATGTTGTATAATGTTAGCCTGTCTTGTTATTTTGGTTTTGTTTACATGGCCACTAAGTAAACATAGGAGTTTGATGCAAGGAAGTGGGTAATGTAATGTACTTCGTACAATGTGTAGTTATCACCCCATATGTAATAAACATTAATATGGAAATGCCATATACTGTATTTTACTTATATATGTGCAAAAAGGTACAATAGGTTGTGAGAATACACTTGGTAATTAAGTACTAAATTCTAGCAAAGCCATTAATACGCAGTTCAGTTCGAGTAAGTTTTAAAAGCTCGTGCAGGATTTGCAGTGAATTTTAAATTACAGTTTGGAAGTCAATCTCGAAAAACAAAAATAGATGTACTAGTGACAGGTATATACAGTAATGACAGAATTTGGATTCAAATAATTATTACCCATGTACAAATATATAAAACAATGTATGTTCAATGTTGGAGGCCTGATGCTTACAGTTAGCCTCCTGCAACTTTGTATGGTGAATTGTGATTATATGGTGTCATAAGGGGGGGGGAGGGGATTGAGGTTTACTCCCTATGCCTCTCTAAGTAGGATTAACACCTATTGCAGTTACTAGCGATGCCTATAAATTCTGAAATGGGGCTTTGGTTTTCCAAAGACTTTCACAATTTTCTGTCATTCACTACACACAATGTAATCTCAATATCATTACAACATTGTGTTTGTAACAATAGTAAGAATAACAGGGATGGGAGGTTATAGAGGGAGGAGGGAGAAGAGACCTAGTTATTGTGAGGTACCCCATCTATTATTATTAATATAAAGTAGTGGTGATCAGAAATTTATTATTAATGTACTGTAATTGTATTTTTAGATTGTAAAGTACTAGGTGAGTTAGTAGCACAAGGTGGGATTACAGTGGTAATGAAATTAGGTACAGTACTTCATCTAATCCTTACAGTACTATAATAATACAGTACTTCATTATTAATTTTTTAATAAAGTGCAGTACAGTTAAACAGTTTTTACTACAATAATTAGAAAGGGAGTTCCATATATTGGGGTCTCTATTTGCATGGCAGGTTTGCATAGAGTCTGGCTATGGTAATATCAGAGAGATATTTATTTCTGAGGTTCATGGGTTCTATTACATCCATCTGGGAAGACTTTCAAAATGGGATTAAAATTGAGGAATATGGCATTGTAAGTAAATTGCACAAGAGAATGTGTGGATTAATTCAAAATCATTTTTTGGGAGACTGGAAGTTTGTTTAGGGATTTAAGCAAGAAGCTGTCTTGTCTGAAGGCAGAATTTGTTATAGTTCTGATAGCTGATTTTTTGCTAGGTGATGATGAGCTTGAAGTAGTTTGCAGTGGTTGAATTCCATGCATAAACGTAGTTTTCTGATTTGTTGTGCAAATGCCATACTGTACAATAAAGGCAAAATCAATTGATGAATGAATGAATGAAAACAATATATGTATTGTACTGTACATAGTGAAAGCCTGACACTGCAGCAATAGGTTGAAGTACAGTATACAGTAGTATATATTTTCAGAGTGACCACAAAAACATGACAATTCTAACATTCTTGGTGCCTGTACACTCAAAATTGAAAGTGTCATGTAATTTGAGACCCCTAACACATAGAAGTCAGAAAATGAAAACAGTGATCCTCAAACTGAATAAAAAAATAAAAGGTTGTTGACAGAGTGAGAGGCCTAACTGTAATAATACTAGTAGTTGTACATGCACCTCACCACACACAGGGGGGGCCTCGTAGCCTGGTGGATAGCGCGCAGGACTCGTAATTCTGTGGCGCGGGTTCGATTCCCGCACGAGGCAGAAACAAATAGGCAAAGTTTCTTTCACCCTAAGTGCCCCTGTTACCTAGCAGTAAATAGGTACCTGGGAGTTAGTCAGCTGTCACGGGCTGCTTCCTGGGGGGGGGGGGTGTGTGTGTGTGTGTGGTGTGGGGAAAAAAAAAAAAAAATAGTTAAACAGTTGATTGACAATTGAGAGGCGGGCCGAAAGAGCAAAGCTCAACCCCCGCAAAAACACAACTAGTAAACACACACAATCCCAGGGCCAGGATTCATCAAGCATTTACACAACCAAGCATTTAGTTTTATGCATATACAGCAGTATAGTGTAAGTTGATTATATAGCTACCAAGGTAGTGTAGTAATTCCTAGCTGAATGTTTTAGCCACTATTATTAGACACAAAAGTTAATTATATTAGTATGGAGAAAAATGCCTGTGGTGATTCAATCCCTGTAATTCTCTATATCCAACCTAACCACAGTACATATTGGATTCCCATAGTTGAAACAGGAAACTGCCTGTTATTTATTGGTGGTGGGGTTTAACCCTTACTCTGCTCCAATTGCTATCTAAAAAAATTTCCATTTTATTTATTTACTTTTTTAATTATGCACACTTCGATGCCAACAAAATAGAACATGAAACAAGGAATATAAATTGGATAAGATTAGATTCAGGAAAACCTGGGCAAATATTGGTTTGTAAATAGTTGTAAATTTATGGAACAAATTACTGGATAACATAATGGACATAGGATCACTGGATTGTTTAAAATGGGGTGAAATGGATGCTGTACTGTATATGAATGAGTTTTGGTTGATATAGATAGCTGTCTTAAATAGGCCAAAAGGTCTTCTGCAATTTCATTTATTCTAATGTTATTGTGTGTACAATTTTTAAGATGCAGTGGACTCAATTTGAAAAAGAGGGAGTGAATGAGGGGATGTATGAAACAATTGACAACTGATAGGAAGCACACTCTACCTTGTCCTGTGAAGCAATGGGACATTGCTGTACAGTAGATGATTTACCAGCAGTATGCTGATGCAGATCTTTTTCCTTTGAGCAAATGCCACCTCACCCGATGTACGTGGTACACAGGAATAAAGATGGTGTATAATTCTCAAAATATGAACCACTGTTTTCCTCAGGAATTTTGTTTCAGCACTGGCACTTCTTGCAGCTCTGATACCTCACCGCAAGGGTTTGTGGCTCCTCCCTTACTGTGAACATCCTGTTGAGATAGTGTACTGTATTTGATACACAGGGTAACCACACATTTATTGTTATTAATGAAAGCTCTATATCTACTTTTTGAATTATGAATGAAGTACTGTACTGTTCTTCTGTTGTTTTTGAGCCTTGTATATATATTTTTTTTTATGTTCAGTACATGCTGTACTTTTATTTTGATTTACTTACTTTACTTTTTCTTTTCTATCATAAATGTTATTATCTTGATTTAATTTGGAATGACTTGATTTAATTTGGCTTGTAAATAACATGCCAATTTTGCCATTTGGCTTTATTTATTTAGTTTGGAATCTTTAGGTGTAAGTCTTAATTTGAAATACCATGGCATGTTTCCTTTAAATTTAGATTTTTCTTAACCATTTGAAAATAAGAATATTGGGGTGCATATATACTTTATATACATACAAGTTTCATGTGAAATGTTCAATATTATTTAGTTGAGTATAAAAGGTGATGGTACATCATTAAGAAACTGAAGCCTCTGTAAGTCAGTAGAGGATGTTGGTATCATAGTTATACATCCTGAGGGAGCAGGTTTGCTCAATGTGTGTGAGAGAGAGAGAGAGAGAGAGAGAGAGAATCTAGCAACAACCACCATCATACCATTTATAATTAATTCTCTGAATAAGACAGTTGTGGTGTTTTGAATGAACAGTAATTAAATTGAACATGCACTGCACAGTATAACATACAAAGTTTCCAGTAAGGCAAAATCTAGTGGTTGAAAGGTGAATAGCAACTCCCATTGATAAGGAGATTGAAAATGATGTTCCCAGGTGTTGTAGACCCAACTGCATATTACTTCACATGGTAAGGGTTTATTTTTCCATCATTCAGCTTTTAATTGAATTTAAAGATTGGGATTACAGTACTGTAGTTTTAAAAACTGTCTCTTCAATCATGGATTATGCTAAGGCACAGTGAATGATGTTATTCTTAAAACAATTCTATTGAGCCACATCTGTGCAGCAACAAACTTTACTACATAATTTCAACTGATGCAATCTAGTGATGAACTTTCTGAATAGAATTTGCTAGCTACTAAGTTGTCAAAGTATAATTGAAAATACAAACTGACACCAAATCTGTTTTCTTTCATGAAGGTTTAAAGCATTTTTAAAGGATTGAAAGTGCTTGTATAGTTATTGTTATGGTATATACTGTAGTACAGTATATTGTAGATATGAAGTGCTCTTGTTATAAAAGTTTCTCATTATATAGGGTAACAGTGCTATTGTAACCCATTCCTGTGATTTGGTAGGTGTATAGCCACATTGACTTCGTTCTTTTTTCCTAATAATTAACATACTTTACCTGGCAAAGCAGCACACTTGACAAAAGTATGGCCAAAACCCCCATTGAACTGTTTCTAGTCATTATTTTTGTCTGAGTGTTTCATATGAAATATATTCCTGAACTTTAATTAGTCCATATCTGCCTATAACACAGTAATCCCGATTTAGCAGGTGACCTGACTTGAGACACTGGCTCGCTGGATTTACTTCTGAACCCGAATTAAAATTCAGGTTATTAAGACCTTTGTTGAACAAAACCAGAATAAATTCAAATGTGTTACTTTTTTTAACTTTGTCAGTAAAACAATTAGCTAACTCAAATGGGGTTGACCCTATATAGTTCAGATTACCAATCGTTCGCAGTGGAGAGTTGATATGGTGATACTGTTACATTATCTGGAGGAATTCATTATATGTCTGTTAAGATTTAAAAAATTACTCTGTATTGGAGTAAAGATATGAATGCTCTTTTTGTGAGAACCTGCTCAGTATACTGGAGTACAGAGGAGAAGCACTACCATTGTGAGAGCTGCTTGGTATACTGAGTATAGGAGAGAAGCACTACCATTGTGAGAGCTGCTCAGTATACTGAGTATAGGAGAGAAGCACTACCATTGTGAGAGCTGCTTGGTATACTGAGTATAGGAGAGAAGCACTACCATTGTGTGAGCTGCTTGGTATACTGAGTACAGAAGAGAAGCACTACTATTGTGAGAGCTGCTCAGTATACTGAGTATAAGAGAGAAGCACTAACATTGTGTGAGCTGTATAGTATACTGAATACAGAGGAGAAGCACTACCATTGTGAGAGCTGCTTGGTATACTGAGTACAGGAGAGAAGCACTACCATTGTGTGAGCTGCTTGGTATACTGAGTATAGGAGAGAAGCACTACCATTGTGTGAGCTGCTTGGTATACTGAGTACAGAAGAGAAGCACTACTATTGTGAAAGTTGCTCAGTATACTGAGTATAGGAGAGAAGCACTACCATTGTGAGAGCTGCTCAGTATACTAAAATGCACTTTATTCTAGTTTCAAGTTAAAATTATGTACAATTATTGCCTCCACACATTCTTTACCTACATACCGTATTCATTCATTGTGACAAGACATTGCAAATGCTCACTTCTGACATATACAAGTATGTACATGGTATGCAATTATGGTAAATATCTACATATGTAGAACATGTATTAATAGGACCTTGAATTATTTTTGTGTAATATTGGTGTGCAGTGTAGTCACAAGTGCACCCAGGAATGGTACTAAAGCACCAGTTATCAAGTCCTGCACTTCTCAGCTAGTCCAGTACTAACTGTTGCCACCTAAGGTTTCATGACAATTATGGCGAGCTAGATTATATAAGTGTAAGTACAGTACTGTATTGCTTTGAGGAGGTTTCCAATTACCTGTGCAGTATTTTATCCAAATATAACAGTAATAGTTTAGTTATGAGATTTGACAGGAAGGTTTTGAAAGTACAGTACAGTATTGTATTAATGTAAGGGCATTGTTTACATTGTATAATGTGTGGCAACATTTACCAGTACACACACACACACACACACACACACACACCCACTATAGGTTCCCTATGATACACTCGGTCATATAACACCCAGCACTGCTGCTTTGGTGTTAGTTTTCAGGGGCTGAGGGGGTGTGCCGGGCACAGGCTTGTGGAAAATTTAAATAAATGTAGTGTTGTGCTTTTGCTTAGTTTCATAATTTTGGGGTTTGGAAAAATTCTATAGTGACTAAATATAACTAGATTGACATCACTTTAGTGTGTAGCATTGTTGAAATTGACTTGTGACACACAATCATGGAAACTGAAGTGGAGGGGCAGTGTGAACTGGACCATTTTGAGAGGATCTTCACCACCTCGACACTCTATCAGGAAATAATGTGTGTCCTAACTTTCTTTTCATTGCTCAGTGATTATTTAATTTTAAATTGTTAAATACGATAAGAATTGTGATAGAAATGAACTGTGACTTGTCATAAGGCTGTTATTTTTAGGCCTAGATGTTATTTAAAAATTTCTTAACTATAGCACAAAACACTGTATATATGATTAGTAATATAATCTAAAGAAGATTACAGTATTATTGTATTTGGATAAGGTTCATATTTTGTGTCCTAGATTTTCTTGTATTCTGCTATTTCAGCAAGACAAATGCAGCCACACATGAAAGTGGAATAGGGGGTGGATGGTGATAATGTTGTTCATGATTAATCATAACATTTATTAATCATTCATCATTATTATTGACCAACTTTAACTATTGGTGTTAGAGGAACATGTACAGTACTCCACACATATACATAGTCTAACACCAGTAATAGTTTTCAAGGTTGTTAATTAATACGTATGTAATTGTTTGAGATGTTGAAAAATAATGTATTTAATCTTATTAATTTTGAGGAAAACACAAAACAACTACTGTAGTCTTTTAATTCATGAACAAAAATTATAACTATGAATGGTAAAGGCTACTAAGTGTAAAGTCTGCAGTCCTTCAAAATTAAATGCTGTATGAGGCGGCCTGACAGCTGAGTGGACAGCGCTTCAGGTTCGTAGTCCTGAGGTTCCAGGTTCGATTCCCGGTGGAGGCAGAAACAAATGGGCAGAGTTTCTTTTACCCTGGTGCCTCTGTTACCTAGCAGTAAATAAGTACCTGGGAGTTAGCCAGTTGGTACGGGCTGCCTCCTAGGGGTGTAACAAAAAGGAGGCCTGGTCGAGGACTGGGCCGCGGGGACGTCAAGCCCCAAAATCACCTCAAGATAACCTCAAGATGAGGCTTGGGAAAATCAAAATCTGCTTCAGAAAATTCTACTCTTATAAGTTTCCATTCAATTAAGCAGTGTACTCCCATGGTAACTTATTTTTGTCTGCTATTACTTGAGAAAGCTTATATTGAATTAGCTTGAAACTAGCACTACTTACAGCACATATTAGCATGAAACTAAGGTTTCTTGTTATTAAAGAGTTTAATATAATGTCAGATATTTTTGTAATATTTGGTTTTGATTGGAGAATACCTTATTGTGCCTTACCTTAACTTATTGACTTGAAACCTTAAACACTTAGGTTTATCATAACCATAATGAGTTATGGGTACGTGAATAAGGGGACACAGGTGGAAACTGAGTACCCAAATGAGCCACAGGGATGTTAGAAAGAACTTTTTCAGTGTCAGAGTAGTTAACAGATGGAATGCATTAGGTAGTGATGTTGTGGAGGCAGACTTGATACACAGTTTTAAATGTAAATATGATAGTGCCCAGTAGGCTCAGGAATCTATGCACCAGTTGATTGACAGTTGAGAGGCGGGACCAAAGAGCCAGAGCTCAACCCCCGCTAGCACAACTAGGTGAGTACGTATGTATACTGTATTCATAACACTGAGCATCCTTGCACATGTATGATTGAACCCTTCCTTGTGCTCCAATGAATGAACAGTAATTTCATGTTATGTTGAACTTGACTATATGATGAGGTGGAGAGGTTTGAGTCACTTGTTGTGCTATTGTCTTCCTGGCTAGGTGTAAGCTGATTGGGTAATGTTAATGGGCATGTAAAGGTTTAGAAAACATTCGTCTTTCTCAAGGCGTTTTATTTGGTGTCACAAGTTCTTCATGAACAAGTTGGATTGTCATACTCTTGTAGTACAATATGTGATGGACTGTATCTTCTGTTTAGTGTTAGTAAGGGTCACATTTCTTATGTCTTTCAGGTCTGTTTTCTCTGTCTTATGATTCGTTGAAAAGAAGTTCCTGTAGTAGAGTTTTATAAATGGGACAGGTCCTGATTTCTTGTCTTCATTAGTGGTAGTATGGCAGTTCAGCTTCCATTAGAGTACTGGTATCAATTGTTAACAATGATCTGCTTCACTCTGTTGAAATCCTCAGCTACTTGTGTAAGGCTTGCATACATGAGGATGGCAAACCTGACCAAGGAATCCATTATGATAAGTATACATGGTATATGTAAGGTAAATCATGGAGTATGCAGCTCCAGCTTGGAATCAACATCTTGTAAAGCACAAGAATTGAAAAGATCCAAGATTTACCATGAGAGATACTAGAGATAAAGAAATGAGTTATGAGGACAGGCTATGTGAACAAAAACTAATAACATTTGAAGAGAGGAGGACAAGAGGTGATAGGTCAGTCACATATATTGCTTGCCCCTTATGACAGATCTGGATGTATGGGCAAGTGTGCTTACCTAATTGTGCTTATGGGGAGTAAATCCAGCTCTGGCACTACCTCATAGCTGCAGTATCTGGTGCAATAATACCTCCCTAGGTTCTAGCAATTGGTCATACTTGCTCAAACTATGAATTATGCTTAATGGGTGCATATGGAGCATATTCTTTTAAAAATGGTTGCTGTTGGCACAACTATGCTATGTGTTCTGGGTTCAGTGCGTCCCCTATCCTCTATGGTCTGATGCTGGTGGTATTTAGCATTTGCTTCAAACAGGTCATTGGTTGCTTTTTGCGACCAGTAATATACCACCTGCCACATGCCCGTGTCAACCACCGTACAACTGCAACATTTACTGAAGATCATTCCTCAATTTGCACAATAAAATAACAATTTATGTTTGCAAATTATGTGGTAAGAAGGGTAGAATAACTTAATAAAAAGTAGGCATATATGCAGAATTATAAAAACAATTTTTTTATATCAAATAAAAGAAACTGCCAGAACATAGGTTTAAATTTTTAATGGCGAATTAGGCTCAAGTCGAACGTGCCAGATCAACTGGCTTGTGTATATATGATCCCGCAAGCCACTGCCATGAAAACCCTTACTGAAACTAGCCATAGGTGAACTACAAATAGAGGAGTGTGGGATTATTTAAAAGTTGGGATACATGAAGGAGATTTCATTTATCATTGGTTTGTGGTGGTACTGTAACCACCTTAGCTTATTTAAATGTTATTTTAATTAGTTCTTTTTTTTCACAGGACCATATACGATGGAGATGAACATGGCAAATTCATGGAAAGGTTGGATACAAGAATCCGAAACCATGACAGGGATATTGAACGCATGTGTAACCACCACTATCAGGGCTTTATTGACTCAATTCGGGAGCTTCTGCAAGTCAGATCTCAGGCACACAAACTCAAGGTAATTCTTGTTCATAAGTGTGATTGCTGTTTTGCTAATTAATGATTTATGTTATGCTAGGTATGTTTCATAAATGTTACTTGAAGAATCACACTGTATGTAAGCAAAGAAGAAGGAAAAAAATAAGATTCTAGACGCCTAACTCGCCCATGAAAAGAAAGGAAAGTGTGGTGATATTTTGGTTCATCACTTTCCTTTCTTTCATATACAATATGTGGGTTTGAGTGTCTAGTTTTCAGCCATGTTATTGTGAGTTACATTATGTAAATAATTGTTCAGACTTTATTAGCTCTTTTTGTGAATATTTTTGTTCCTTCATTTTCAATTATCAAAATCAACAAGGATAGTCCATCTAATGTGTACTTGTACTTAATCTTAAACTTTACACTCGATTTCATTAAATGTAACTTTCTGGTCAGCGATGTCAGTTACCAGTGGAAGCTGTTGGTGGCTTCCTTGGTGTCAACAATGTGTACTTACTGCTAAGGCAGCATATATAGTTTGCAGCAAATGTTTTATGTGATATCGTTGAATAAGATAACAACTTTAAGTGTTGAATATTATTGACAGAAATGCATGTGATTACAGTGATTTGTCTTGTAAGGAACAAAGCAAAGTATCATCATTGATAATACTAAATTTGTCAGCGATGTTTAATACTTCAACACTTCACTAATATTCGCGTATTCTTTCCTTAAATTTTACTTCAGACGGAAGTTGTAAGAATAGATGACGAAGCCCAAGAATCTGCAAAAAAACTCCTTGCTAAAAGTGAAGAGTTGATAAAAACAAGAAAGGTTCAATCCAACATTTGTGCAGCTATTGATGCTCTCACATTATGTTTGCCAGTGTTGACCACTTACTCCAAACTACAAAAACAGATGCAGGAAAAAAGGTATGCTCATGACTCTTATTTACATTTCTGCTTCCAATTTGGGGAGGGTCCCCTCGGTAGCTTTCTGTAGCCAAGCACCGGCTGAGTCATGCACAAGGCCTCAGAGACCACCCGTGTTTACTGGGAGCCAGGACTAGAATCTGGCTCTCTGAGGCGAGGGAAGCTTGGAGGGTCAGAGATCAACTCAAAACTGAGAAAACCTCAAATCAGAAAACATAAGCACAAGAAAACAAGCAATTGCTTGAAGAAAATTAGGTATTTATTGACAGCCCAGTGTTCCAGCCATCTTACCCCCTCACTCATGAGCTGTTCAAATCCCTACACCCAACAGGCAAGTAGGGAACAGGGTTATGAAGGGAAACAGCTGAGGGCCCTCCAAAAAAAGAAAGAAAGAAAGAACCTTTCATTACATTCATTACTTGATTTCTGGAATCATTAGCTTCATAAACTAGTTTACAATAGTAAGGCTGTCATGGCTCTTCCATGGAAGATGATGGGAGAAGATAATAGCTTGGAGCTCATGGACACCTCAGACATCGCATGAGGTTAACACTCAGGTTGACCTCCTAAAACAATTACGGGCTATTCATGTCCGTGCCACCTCTTGAGTGGCTTAATCTTCATCAATCAGTCAATCCTGAAACAAGTCCCGAGGCCAAACATGCGCTTAGCTTGGGAAGCCACCGAGGGCCCACCAGAAAAGGGCATTTCATTAGTCATCGCTTGATTTTATTATCTGGTGTGTGTTTTTACTTTCCTGCCTTATAAGGTCTTTGAAGAATCTGTTCTTGAAGTTAATATGGCTAGAAGTAGCTTCTACAACTTGTTTCAACATTTTGAATTCAATTTGTTGACCACCTATACCGGGTACATCTGTTATCTTTCATTTCTTGGAATAATTTTGCCTTTTCATCTTCTATCTGTGTCGTGTTCTTTTTTTCTCTCAATTTAAAGACGCTGTACTTTTCCATATTGTCTATTCCCCCTCAATATTTTGTATGCCATGATCATACAGTTTGACCCTTCAGTTTGCCATGTCTCCCTGTAGTAGTAATAGATTTCCTTAGTGTGTTCTTATAATTTAGTCTTATAATTTAATCTTTATTCAAGCATTTACTTCTTTTACTGCACATATCTGCACTTTTTCCAGGTCAGTTTTGCACTTCATGTGGTGCAGATTTCATGCCAGTGCTGCACTCTTGACATGGAATCTGCACAGCCAGTGGTCTTGCACTGGCTGTGTGTAAGGTGCTGGAATTACAAGAACTATTACATTTAACAAGTTTTGGTACTGTTATTAATAATAAATATTTTGTCTTAAGGCTTTAATACTGTAGTTGATATTGGTGATTTGTCACTTATTTTTGACCAAATGTTGTAATAAATCTAAGCCAAATAAAGATAGGTACAGTATCATTGTATAAAGAACTGACAAGCATCTAGAACTGATGACAACCCTATTGATGTGCATCCACATGTTCTATCTAGAACACCTGTTTGATGTGCATCCATCCATTGGAACTACTGTATTTAAAATGAATACAAGGCTCTGATGCTTATCCATAAAGCTTGTGTAGAAAACTGTTTAGCATTGATATATATTCACAGGTACTATCCGGCTCTGAAGACCCTGGAACAGCTTGAGCATACATATTTGCCTCGGGTAGCTAGTTACAGATTTGCTCAGCAGATGCGTGATAACATCCCGAGGGTGCGAGAAGATATCAAGCACGCATCCATGTCCGATATCAAAGATTTCCTGGAAGCCATTAGAAGGCGAGTTTTTATGTCATGGGACAAATTGATCTTAATGACTTTAAAATAATTAATACTTAACTGAGGATACATGAAAACTATGAATGTAGAGAGACAAACTATTATTTTGTTAGGAAGATGGCTGGAAAAAAGATTGCAGCACGTGGAATGTTATAAGTGCAGTGGGGGAGTGTTTGGTGAAGTGGTGCAGTGTCAGGGTGTTGGGTGAAACCAAAATGTGATATATGAAGTCTTGACAATGAAAAGATTATATTACTTGTAAATCTTTTATTTCAGTTGTTTAATATGTATCTCTGTTAACTTGTCAACAGGGTATCAACAAGAATTGGTCAGGTGGCCATGAAACACGCAGCGCTACAATACAACATGGATCCTAAACTTGCGGTGACTAGGAATGAGAGGCATGCACCCTTGCCTCCCAATCCATTTACAGGTTTGTTTCTTTGAAGGTTTTATGTGGAAGACAATTTTTAGTTTTCCTACTATGGCAACCCCACACAAGCTGGGCTTCTCTAATGATTGCTTGATAAGCCAGGTTATTTCTGCTTATAACTAGAGTGTCATAAGCCAACTGAATGACATCCTATGCATGAACCCATTGAGTTTTAGCTATTAGATTGACTAGTGTGGCCTTTGATTTTGACACTCTAAAGTATTTTACGTATACTGTACTACAGCATATTCGTAATGATTTTCTTTGACACCAGCTATTTCTTCTAATGTTGTATTCATCTACAAGAAATAAAAAATGCATTTCGAGTGGCGTTTTGTTTTCGATAGGTATTTAATGAAGTGAATTTGTATGAGAGATTTAATTCTTAATTTTTTTTTGTTCTTTTTAATGTATTGGACCTGAGTGTTGAATTTCATTTATTGATCTGAGGGAGATGGGCTGTGTAAGGTAAAATATTACTGAGTGTGCATTGGTGGCAAATAACTACTTGTTGTGGATAAAAATATGCTGAGAGTCCTTCAGTCTTCCATTATACAAAGTTTTTATTAGTGTGTTCCCACAATAGTTCTTGCTATTTCCACTACTGGAAGATTTAAAATAAGCAGAATTTTGGGGGTATCTGAAATAAAGTATTTAAGTATTTTTTCCATGTAAAGCAAAGATCCCTGTGTGCATATTTTCTCAGGAGTGTATCTCGCATGCATATTTAGGGTTGCCTGTGTGAGTTTATCACTCAAACTCATCATCATTTTTATATCTGAACATCACATTTATATCTGTTGCCTACAAGGCTTTGTTGAAAGTTCAGCTCCTCCACCAAAACTGTTTTCATATCCAATATTATATTTGCTTTGTAAATTATTTGTAGCATTTGGTAACATTGATATCATCTTATAAATGTCTTGGGTACACTAGCCAAGATATTTATAAGATGATAACTTGTATGCAAGATAATTTGCACATTGATATGTGCAAGTATTCCATTATACAGTGGCACCTCGACTTACGATTATTTCGAGTTACGATATAAATTTGATCGGAAAATGCAACTCGACTTACGATAGTGTCGTCGACTAACGATATTCGTTGATACACGTTTGGGTCGACCGAGCGCATGGTTCATGGTCGCGCTGGCTGACCTGCCTCAGTTTACTAGAGGCGCTGGCTTAGTGACGATCACACTTATAAGAAATTCCATTTTTTTCTTGATTTTTTGCTTTTTGAACATAAAACTGATCATATATCATGCCATGGGTCCCAAGAAAGTCAGTGGTAAGGTTCAACATATGAAAACATATGTGAGGATGACCATAGAGGCAGCCGAGCAAATTTCTTCAGGGAAGGAGGAGGCAGAACAGAATGTCCCTTCCTCAACAATTAGGAAGTGGTGTAGACTGTGGGAAGAAATGCAAACTTTTGTTGAAATGACTCGCCCAGAGTAAGCTGTAGTAGGCCGTTTCCTTAACCTTTTCAATGACACTGATGCATCACTACAGACAAATGTTAAAACGAAGGGAAAAAACAAGTGTCGCTAGACAAATTTTTAGTGAGACAGACAAGTAGTGAATCACAACTAGGTCCTAATGGTATGCAGGCAAAATGTAGGAGAGAGTGTACCCCAGAGAAATCATCACTGCCTGATGTAATAATGGAAGGGGACTCCCCTTCCGAACAGTAACACCTCTCCTCCTTCCCCCTCCTCACCATCTTCCATACTCCATCAAAAGTCCTCCATAAAGGTAAGATAAACACATGTACTATATTGCAGTTAGAGAAAAAAATTGTATTCCGTATAAAATGTATTTTTAAGTTAATATTTTTGGGGGTGTGGAAAGGATTAATTCAATTCCCTTTATTTCTTATGGGAAAAATCACTTCGACTTACGATACGTCTCTGGGAACGGATTAACATCGTAAATCGAGGCCCCACTAAAACAGAAGTATAGTAATGTACTAGTAATTTATATCATATATCATATAATTTATATAAAAATATCATAGCACTCATGTTTTCTGCTCGTGTCCTAACGAGCAGAAAACATAATTGCTATGATATTTTGTTAAGAGCAAAAGCAAATTAGTAATTCTTTCTTCATTGGTAAATTAGAAAGCAGGTGATGGATTCATTTGGCATTAGGCTGTAGTGATAATGTAATCAACAAAGAATCTTAGGGCAAGTTGAAGCTATTTAAATTTTTTTGGAGAAATTTAACAAACATCTCACAAGTTGTAGTGATTGTGGGCTGAAAATTGCTGTTGGGTATGTATGTTGTATTAAAAATAGTAATTTATAATCTGGCATTAGCAAAATTTGTGTAAATTATGGGATTTTTCTTAAGCTGTAGATCTATTCATTCTGAGTGAAGTAACAGTAAAAGTACAGTCCAATCGTATTTATTAGAGCATTAAAACTCCATATGCTCTGTACAGTGTTGTGTGTGTGTGGTGGAAGTCTTTGTGCATGTGATCTGATAATGGAAGGAAGCTTTTAACAGAGGTGTGCACTGCCAACACACACACCATTCCTTATCCTCTAAAGCTCGGTGTGTTGTTTCAGCTTACATTCTCTTCATTTGGTACTTCTAGTAGCATCCCATAAACAGCTGAGTAGTGAGCTGGAGTATTGTGCCTCACCACTTGTTAAATTAAAATATATAGTCCCTTCATGCTGTAAATTATTTTTGTTCTTTCTTAAATACATCATAGTTCTTTCCACTTGTGTGTGTTTAACAGTGGATGATAAAAAGTGTATTATTGCAAATAAAAAAACAAAACAAAAACAAAAAACTCAATTTGCCAAAAATGTGACAAATTTGGTTTATTATGCACAAAGTCTTGAAATTTCTCTTGCTAGTTTGTCTCTGGAAACATGGTAATTTGCAGAAGCCACAGCAGCTATCTATTGGATGTATTTCATTTTGCTTATAGGTAAAAATTGTTAGCGGTGCATTTTAATGTTTATTTCAGAGATTTGTAATAGATATTAATGATTGAAGAACATGTGCACTTGAGTATGGGAGGCTTAATCTAAAATGTTTAGTGAGAGTGTAATAGATATGTTGAAATCATTAAAGTAAAGCAAACTATAAATATTAACCAAGATCTTCCACAAGTGACTGTAGTTGATGTTCTTGACAGTTTAGATCAAATTTAGTTCTCTATTAATATTTTAATACGAGCCTAAAAGCAATGTCATTGTATTTGGCAGCACGAGAACCTGGAAGGTTACCGACAGTATCTGTACGGAGTGGTTGGGTTCTTTGTGATAGAGGATCATGTACTGAACACTGGCAATGGTTTGGTCACTAGGCCATACCTGGATGAGGTCTGGGACATGGCCTCCGGTAAGGTACGTACCATTGAGAGAGCATCAACTTCAGTAAAAACACATCCCCTGACATTCCTGCTACAGTATATAAAATACCTCAATAATTCATTATAATATGCAATTTGACTTTTATTTTCTTGATTATGTACATGAAGATATATTTTGATACTGTCCTAACTTGACAATTATGACCTCTTATCTTCATATAGATTATTTAAATTATAAGTTAATTTTCATTAATCTTTTCAATATTAATGATTTTGCATTAAAATTGCAATAATAAACTAAGTTTAAATTTTTTAATATGTATGTTCTTGATATGTTTGTTCATTTTGTTTCAGGTTGTAAATAATATTCGCAACCATTCTTCATACTGCACTGACACTTTCCTTATGTTAAACATCAAGAATCTTATTATGCTCTTTGCCCATACTTTGCAGGTAAGAAATCAATGTTTGGGCTTGTACACATTTGTAGTTTGACTCATATTTGTGTGTGTATGTGTATATACTGTAACTAGTTGTGTTTGAAGGAATTAAACATCTTATTAGTTTCATAAAAATTTTTTTATTGAGTTCTCTATTCATGATATATGGTTTTCTTATAAGGTTCATTAGTCTCATTGTGTACCTTTTAGGGCTTCAATTAGAATTTTTTGAGGAAGTTGTATTACAGTACTCGCCTACATCACAATCCTGTGTCAGGTAACCCACTGCTAAAGTCAGGTCAGTTATCAAGGACAGCCATCTTTTATGTTTAGGTCTTTATAAGGGACCTCCCCCATTCCCTAATAATCTGCATCGAAACACGTTTATGTGAATAGTAAAGCATTTGTGAAATTTTGGGAGAACAAGAGGATAGGATGTTAATGTTGGCGTGGGCATGAGATAGGTATGTGTAATGTCACCATGCCACTTTAATATCTATATGGATGAGTTAAGTTAGGAAGTAATGGCAAGGACAGATGGATTGAGAGTGGAATTGCCTGAGAATCATTTAACAAAGGGGTCTACATGGGTGAGGGGCATCATGTAACAGAGGCAGACAACCAGGGTAGAGTAGATCATTACATGAAGTGAAGTGAAGGACTTTGGGATGGGGTTTTCAAGATCATGAAAGTGTAAAAGTTTTGTGTAGTGATGAAGCCTCCTGAAGACACTTACGCTGTGACAGCCTCCTGATTGACAGCTACTGGGAAGGAGATGGGACAATACACATAATATATAAAACACTGTAGATAAATATATTTTTTCTTATGGGTATCCTTTGCAGAACTATGGGTATACTGTGAATCCTCTGCATGAACTACTGCTGGAGGTGAAGGATCATTATAACGAGGTCTTGATGCAGAAGTGGGTACAGGTATGAAGTTTATATTTTTGATGGTGGAATAGGGTTTCGATTGGTAACATCTTCAAAATAAGTAACAAAAAATTTCCTATTTTATTTTTGACACCATTTCTTTCCATGGTGTATCTTTCAGTACAATACAATCTCGATTCAACAAACTATATGTGACCAACCCCAATTCAGTACAGTATGGTATTTGTTGGAACCGAAGATGCCTCCAGGATGCATTTCCTACACCCTATGGGTAAATTTCACTTGGCAAAATTTTCATTTCAACTTGTAATATATAACACAACTATCAAATGAATGCGCAAAATTTAACTACACCTAACTTATTTCTTGCATCTCTAGCTTCAAAACTCATATTCTGACGGTAGCAGGGCCATACCTAAGTGAAAAAACCTTTTTCACTCCAAATTAAAACAAACCATAGAATTTGGTTTTAAATATCTTCAGTAGCTTCCACAAGGCTCCAGCTATTGTTTGCAATGTTGAGTCAAAAATCATCAAAAATGTGATTGGAGCCATATTAAGATATTTACAATTCATAACCTAGTTTTTCCCATGCTCTAGGCTGATTTCACGGAGCAAAATCATAATTTCCTCCTGTCATATGAAGGGCAACAACCAAGATAACCTGTCTGTAAAAAGATTAAACCACATCTAACATATTTCCCATGCCCCAGCTTCAAAATTTCATTTTCAACTGAAAAAAGAACGATATTTTAATCGAAAAAATCTCTGCAACCAGAAATAAAAAAGAACAATAGAAGTTGGTTTTAAATATGCTCAGTGGCTTTCCCAAGGGCCCCGACTATTTCTTGTAATATTTGCTCCACCTGTAAACTCGGTCCCAGCATCCTAAGCAAATCCATACATAACCTACTTCAACGAACACGTGTTCATCAAATCGGGCGAGTAAATCTGGCATGGTGTGTGTGTATTCCGACCAGAGATTCACCAAATCAAGATTTGTTGAATTGAGGTTCCACTGTATTTATGAAGTTCAGAAAGAAGCTGTACATAGTATTATGTATAGTTACCTCATTGGTGCTTTTCATTTAATAACTTTAAAATTGCATATTTGCTCAGAACAATTGTTTTTAATTGTTCTGAGCAAATAATTTAATTGTTCTACTCTACCTCGCAGCTTCATTAGTATTGTCACCTTGCCTGTGCATAAAAACAAAACTATAAAAAAAATATTTAGTTTTATAGAATGAATGATACATTTGCATGAAAAAGGTAGAGAAAAAATAGCTTATTTTCTAGCTGTAATAGTAGATGCGTGAAGGAGTTAATGAGTGCCATCACTAGATACCCAGTTTGTGGACTTGTGTGTAGGAGTGAGAGGCCTCAAACAATCAAGTTGGATGGTTATGTTTGTGGCTTCACTTATTTGTTTTCATTGTGTATTTTTTGTGTTAAATAATTTGATTTGTTCATATAATTGATAAAACAAATATGTAAGACTGAATATAGGCATACAATATAATATGTACACCATTATATTACACAAAGCTATTCCTGGCACAGCTCATAAAATGTGTCTTACAACCTTTGCTGTGATTTGATGATGATTGCAGGCCACTAGTACACAATAACCTCATTGCACAGTAAGTAATTCAAAATTGTAACAGAATTTGTTATTGGGTTTTAGTTAACTCCATTACATCCATTCAGAAGTAGTATAACCATATTTATGTACTGTAATTTGTATAAAACTGGGCGATTATAACAAAAATGAGCAAATGGGGATAACGGCATTGACCTAGACTAACATACAGTACTATGTTAACTGAACTTTTAAGTGTTAAAAAACCTGTTTTCCAATTGTTGTTTCTGGTGACACGAGCCAATGGAAGCTTTTCGTTTTGTATATAAACATCTCTGGTATACATGCATTTCAAAAGTTGTTTGTTTATATTAATGTTTTGAGAAAATCAGTAGGAGCAATGAGGAAGATTCAAACATATGTGGTGAATACTCCCAGGTCATGCTCTAAACCAAAATGTTTTGCTCTAGGAATAAATGTTTTGCTATTACTGATTATCTGCTCATATAAACAACTTTATTTCAGGTGTTTAGAGATATCTTTGAAAAGGACAATTACCATCCAATACAAGTGGAGACACCGGAAGAATATAATAATATCATTGAGGTTTTCCCATACCATGACAAAGCGCTTGAGCAAGCATCTTTCCCAAAACGTTTCCCTTTTAGTTTAATGGTTCCTAAAGTATATAGGGAGGTCAAAATTTATATTGGTGCCTGCCTGGAGTTTTCAGAAGATTTAAATTTAAGGTAAGTAATTGAATACAATGGTGTTATTATATTTATTCTAATAAGGAAATATAAGAGTAAATTTATTACATTTGCCTAATAGTTTCGTCCCTCCCCCAAAATTTGAACGAAGGTGTAATAATTTTTAATTATTGCACCTTTGTTCGTTTCTAAGGTAGCAGCAGCTCTACTCTTTGACACTGGGGCATCAGTAACACATTTCTTCTTCTTGTCAGCCATTATTAAGGGTTATTCTTATTGACCAAACCATACACTAGAAAGTGAAGGTAGTACGATGTTTCAGTCCATCCTGGACCATTCTCAAGTTGATTGTGAGAATGGATTGTGAGAATTTGTACCACAATCGACTTGAGAATGGTCCTGGATGGACCAAAACGTCATCGTCTCTTCAGTTTCTAGTGTGTGTGGTTTGGTCAAGATATTTCAGCCACGTTATTGTGACTCCTCGTCTGCAAGGGTTATCCTTGAGAAAATGCACAGAAATCACTGGTCTTCACTCAGCCTGAGAGTAGCTGCTGACCGAACAGCTTCAGTTGGCCACAGTGTGTGATACCCACAAGGACGTACAGACATTAAAGTACTGTCTAAGCTCGCTTATCCAGACTTTATGGGAAGGACCCCTTATCGGATAAGTAGAACTCCTACAGGGAAAGTCCAAAAATGACCATACAGTATTTGCAGTTTTTTTGTACCACAACCAACATAATTTGGATTTCCACACATATGTACTATAAATCAAAAGTATAATTTAAAAGAGAAACCAGCTTATCTTGTAGTTTGTCGTCTTGTTTGATACTGTAGCTCTTAAAATGTGTAATTCTGGAAAATTTACACAACCTAACCTCTGGTTATCTAGATTTCTGTGCGGATATGGCGAAGTTTTGCCAGAAAATTATCCAGATATGATTTTGGCCGGATAACCCAAATATCTGGTTAAGTGGAATCTGGATAAGTAAGTACATATTTGTACTTACTGCACTGTTCATAATATCAAGAACTTGGTTCTTAATATTGTGACGCGGTGCCACTGTTTGCAAAACAGAGGACTTGCATCTAAGGATTGGAATGAGGAGCACTGTTTGATATGCTGATTATTTTATTCTTAAAATTGGGGACTAGGGCTTTGTTTTTAACATAAATATTTGGTTCTCAAGATAAAACCATGTATCATGTTTGATTAGATGTTCATAAGTTAGAGGTTTTTTAGCTTGGGATCTCATGTATACCACATGTTTGTATCTTTCACATTATCGAAATATATATAGTTACTTTATTTAGTAAATTGCTAACGATATTGGTTTGCTAATACTTTAAAGTACCTGCAAATACATTGTTTTAATGTGGTTATTAATAAGTTGAATAAATGTAAACAACTTATTATATGTTTTATGCTATTCAGTCAAACAGAAAAAGAGGATATGGTTCGAAAGTCGACCAACCTGCTCTTGACTCGTACCTTAAGTGGCTGCCTGGCAACTTTGATCAAAAGACCTGGCTTGCGTCTGCTGCAACTAATCCAGATCACGATCAACACACTTCATCTGGAGCATGCTAATGTTCTCTTAGAACACTATGTTGCCAAGATAACAGGGTAAGTTGATAGTTACCATAGTAAGTTGATAGTAAGTTATCTTCAACCACATTGTTGTGACTCATCATCTGATAGTTGATAGTGATGAAAGTCTTAGTATTAAAGTAATACCCTTAATATTATTTAATACTGTGTTCTATAAATGAACACCAGTTGAGGTCTTGTTAAGTTTGTAAATGCTGATAGTTTCCAAAAGGTTATTTAAGTCAGTTTGCGGCGTGAAAATTTGGAAATGCCAAATGGAACACCAAACACTATGGTGGAAACACCATAGGCTAGTATTAGAACTTATATTTTAGCACAGGTTTGTGAAACAGGTAGTCATCTATAATCTAATGCTGAATTGTGTCCTTTTAAGTTGAAATTCCTGCATGATGTTAGGTACAGGAAGTGGTGGCAGGAGTGATGTTAGGTACAGGAAGTGATGTTAGGTACAGGAAGGGGTGGCAGGTACAGGAAGTGGTGGCAGGAGTGATGTCAGGTACAGGAAGTGGTGGCAGGAGCAACATTTGGTATCAAGTAGGTAGTGGTAGGAAGAGTGATGTTAGGTATCAGGAAGATAAGAGACCAGGAGACCATATCTTACCAAGTATCATGATATAATATAACTGATGGGAAGCATTTACTGTATAAGGATAACTAAACCCTGAAACAGTTCAGTAGATGTCATAATCAGTCTTTGTGTCCAGTGGAATAAAATGTTCCAAATAGCTTATGTCATTTACCTGGAGAAGGTTCCTAAACTTCTACTTCACGAGCCCGGCCTGGGGCCAAGCTCGACCTGTGATATCTTGGTCCAACAAGCCATGTTGACCTGGGTTATGAAGTTCATTATTCTCCATAAAACTGGAGATTTGATTCCTGATCACTTTTTTTTTTTAAACTTTTCTTATGTGTGATGCTAGTGTGACTGGTGTATCATTTTTGGCCAAAGCTTTATTACCTCCCTTATGCAGTGGAGCTATATCTGCTGATTTAAGTGCTGCTGGTACCTCATCTGTATCCAATTTTTTCTCTACATTACATCGAGTGCTTGTGGTACTGGCACTTTACATTTTTTTATGAATGTTGAATTCCAGGAGTCAGGACCCGAGGACGAGTGCATGGGCATGTTGTAAATTTTTCTTTCAAAGTCTACTGTGTTTGCATTAATATCAGTTATATTGTTAGGGGGTTTAGATATAGTTTATGAAAAAGCTGTTTGGATCTTCCACTTTTGTGTTGTTTATTGCGATGCTAAACAGTCTCATACTGGTCTTTTAGAATTGCACTAATTTCTTTGTCTATGTATATCTTCTTAGGTGTGTTTGGAAGTTTGGCCCCTAAGAGATATATATATTGTGATTGAATCATATCTTAAGTTGGTAACTTTGTATCACTCAGGAGCATAGAAGACAGCAGTAAACCAGGTGTCGGGAGACTACAAGGCAAAGCTATGTTCAAGGACATAAGAGGAGAAGCAGAGGAGCAAATATACATTGCTCTCAAACATAAGATAGATGAATTCTTGGACCTGGCATCTTACGACTGGATGCTAGCAGAACCACAAGGCACCTCGTCATCTTATGTCACTGATTTAATAGCCTTCCTTAATTCAACATTTACTGCCTTTACTAATTTACCGGTAAGTTGGAACATGTTTTGTAGAATTGTATCTAATTGTTATGTAAAATATATATGATCAAAGGTAGCAAAGGGTCTCAGTAGTACAGTTTGGTCCAATCTTGACCATCAGTCTGGAATCCTGGGTTTGAATCCCAGGTGGGACAAAACTGGTTAGGCACGTTTCCTTTTACGTAATGCCACTGTTCATCTAGCAGTAAATAGGTACCCAGAAGTTAGTCAGCTGTGGTGGGGTTGTATCTTGGAGAAGGTCAGCAGTTCGACCATGGGGGGGGGGACCTTGCATGCATGGCATGAATACATACATACACACATACATACATAAATACATACATACACACATATACATACACACATATACATACACACATATACATACACACACCACTCACTCACGCGCTCGCTCGCTCTGCCTTTCCCCAACAAATTTAATTAAATTGTATAAACTGTTTTCTATGTATATTGAAGGTTCAGCTAGTGTCAGTATAATCCTTTACACAGTCATTTATGAAGCTGTGCGTGTGTGCATATCTATGCATGTATCTAAACTCCTTCTGTGGAGCTTAATATGCTTGATACTTGTGCCAGAAACCAATTGTTCAATTTGTTATTATCTGGCTCTGTGAGAAATGCTAACGGAATTTCAATCTGATTATCAGGAAGTGGAATTTATTGAGACTCGTAGAGAAAGAAAAGGAGTTACATTGTAATAATGGTTGGCTTTTCAAGGGCGTGGGCTCCAAAAGGTGATACAGTATTGGTATTTATATTTTTTCATTGTTAATTTTTGTGGTAAAGAGATTGTGGTGTAAGAGGGGATTATATTCAGGTGGATCTTATGTGTGGGGTGCTTATTTTCAGGTGAGAGTGGCACAGACTGCTTGTATGTCGGCTTGTCAACATGTAGCAAAGTCTCTGATGGCAATGCTGTTAAGTGAAGATGTCAAACAGATGTCACTTGCTGCACTAGAGCAAGTCAACCTTGATGTCATCCAATGTGAACGTACGTCAAGTAATAGCTTTTATAACGCAGTAAGGAATTTTAAGCTTCCCTTTTTATGGCAATTCCTGCAGGATATATATAGAAACAGTTCATTAACCATATTTGTAAATATATTTATAGCTTACAAATTTTGCTTCAGAATTTGCAGCTTTTGAACCAGTGGAAGGTTTTGAGGAGGGTGCCCTTCTTATGTGCTTCTCTGACTTGCGGCAGCTCCTTGACCTCTTCATGACAGAGGACTGGTCTACATATTTACATGATTATGGATCAGAAAACTCCAAGTATCTTCGAGTCAATCCCCATAATGCTATAATTATTGTTGAAAAGTAAGTAAAATGGACAAGAATTGGTAAATGATGGTGTCAAACAATTGCAGACGATGCGTCACAATAACGTGGCTGAATATATGATGACCAAACTACACATTACAAGATGAAGAGACGATGACATTTCAGTCCGTCCTGGCCTATTATCAAGATCTCAATCGACTTTATAATGGTCCAGGACGGATTGAAATGTTGTCCTCTCTTCATCTTCTGGTGTGTGGTTTGGTCATCATGTCAAACAGTTGTAGCCCCCCTCATTATGCAGTTGTAAGAATGAATCCTTGTGAAATTTTACAGTTTTCACATGTATGATCAATGAGATAATGACAATTTCTTGATACATAATTAAATGCTTAAATTATTATTCTTGTTATATAATTATTAATGGGTGACTGAAGATCCAGGAACAAGAGCAATGATAAAGGTGAGCATGATGCATGATGTAGTGTGGATGGATGCTGGGGGACACATGCAAGATGTAGTGTGGATGGATGCTGGGAGACACATGCAAGATGTAGTGTGAATGGATGCTGGGGGACACATGCAAGATGTAGTGTGGATGGATGCTGGGGGACACATGCATGTAGTGTGGATGGATGCTGGGAGACACATGCAAGATGTAGTGTGAATGGATGCTGTGAGACACATTCAAAGTGTAGTGTGGATGGATGCTATGAGACACATTCAAGATGTAGTGTGGATGGATGCTGTGAGACACATGCATGATGTAGTGTGGATGGATGCAGGGAGACACATGCAAGATGTAATATGGGATGGATGCTGTGAGACACATTCAAGATATCCTGTACCTTACTGTTTAAACTGTCTTGTCTCGCTAGCAATGGTGCACCTCTTCGGGAAATGTCCTGATTTTCAGGATGATTAGAAATCTTGTTTTCCCATTGTTTCTTTGAGTCAATATGTCCCTTGATGAAATCATTGGTGAATCTATTACCTTTGACATCACTCATCTTACATGTCTCTTTGCTCTCTTATTGGCATCTTAAATGATATCTAGGAATTTTGGAATATTCTGTGAGTACTAAATAGTCTTTATGGTTGGTACCTTGTTTTGATAATTACCTTCTTTGCAGGACAAATCATTTCTCAGTTAAGTAAGTTATGAAAATGGTTTGGCAATGTTGAATTAATATGAGGGTTACCTTACCTTGAGGTTACCCTGAGGTGCTTCCAGGGCTTAGTGTCCCCGCGGCCCGGTCGTTGACCAGGCCTCCTGGTTGCTGGACTGATCAACCAGGCTGTTGGACGCGGCTGCTCGCAGCCTGATGTATGAGTCACAGCCTGGTTGATCAGGTTGATCAGGTTGATCAGGGTAGATGAAGATACGGTATGTGAGTGAATGAGCATGAGGAAGAGAGATTGTGTTTTGAAGAGTGTGCCACTATAAGTAATCAAGAACAAGTTTCTCTTGACAGTTTGAAACCAGGGAGAATCTAGTTTTATGAAGGGAAGTGCTGCTATGGTACAGTAAAGGTCTATTAAGATTTAGTAAAGTAACAGTTGTATTCATGTGTAAATATGAATTATCAGATGAAAGAAATTATCATGGTTTGGCTGAATAGTAATTTGGAATATTTTAACACAATGTGGATGATATGCTGAAGTGAAACGGGGCAGGCTATCTATGATGCTGCTAGTTTGGAAGTCATGATAAATTAATGGTTGTTATTTTGATTGTTTAACCTTCCCCTTTATTGCTTTTTTATCATTTTTAAAGTAAAGCTTCTCCAATCCCATCAAAGTGAGAATTGAAGCAATAATAGTACTGGTAATAATAAAATAATGCATACTCTACCTGATTTTATTAAGTTTTTCTTTACAGGCTTAGAGAAGGTGAAAAGAGAGGCATGTTCTCAATCCTCAAGAGAAGTGACAAGAAGAAGCTCTTAGAAACTGTTCTCAAGCAGCTCCGTCAGCTCACTCACATGCAACACACATCATGAGGGCCCTCCCTCTCTCTCTCTCTCTATCTCTATATCTCTCTCTCTCTCTCTCCAGAGCAATGTGCTTCAAATACTCTTGTGTATATCCATCTTTATACAAAAGGTTCCTTAGTTAATTTTTTTTATCTTTTTGGGTCCGGGAAGGAAGGGGGGTAAAGCGTTGGAGTAGAGTGGATGCTGTGATATGTGTGCGGCTCATCAGTGTTATTAAGGCCACAATGCAGCCCCAGGTTAGTGGGAGGCAGTATAAACACTACCTTGTCTTTAAGGCTAGTAGTTAACTGGAAACCATTTGGCTTCAGAACTGATGCATTAATTAGTTAATTTTTGTAAATATTTTTCCAATATTTCGATTGAATTTTATTGAAAGAAAGGCAGGTGTTAAACATGTACATATCAAAGTCTGCTAATGGATTATGTTTCACAATTAGTCATCAGTGAATACTATTTTGTCATGATATTCACATAAAATTAAGCAACATTCCATTAATTAGTTGCAATTGTATATACAGTAGAATCAAAATCGTGAAAAGTTCAGCCAAAGGCTCAGTGCTTCTTTCTTTTGTGTATAAATGTGAATGAGTGTGAACTAAGGAGAAAGGAGGGAAAACATATAATGTCTTTATGCACTCTTCGTACGTCATGTTTCATATTATTCATGTGTGAAGTTTGTTGACAAAGTTAAGTGGTGTGAATCATAAACTTGTGTGATTTGCTCTTTCATCTTGCTTGGTGCATTTTATTTATATTTGAAGGAAGATCTTTTATAAATGTTACGGATGTCTGAAAGATTTGATGTAAATTATTACTACTTTGCTCTTCTAGGATTACATATATTCTGTACAAATAATGCTATAACTACTGAGAATAAATACTGTATTCCACTTTGTACAGATTACTGTTAAATATAATAAAGTATTGTGTTAATTTTTTATTGTCATTTTCCATGCATGCAGTTAATTTGAAGATGTTGTGCTGTACCCACATTAGGGGGCTCACAATGACATTTTGACATTGTATGCTTATCTATTGCTGCTTACCTAGTTGTGTTGTAGGAGTTGAGCTCCAGCTCTAGGCACCCATCTCATGCCCTTCAGTCAACTTGAACCCTGGTTCTTGAGCCTTTTGGTTTCTCATATAATACTTTACATTTGAAGTCTGCCTTAACCATTTCATTACTTTGTGGATAACATTTATTCCATATTCGAAGACTGAACAAATTATTTCTGGTGTTATGTCTGGTGCATTTACTGATATTTGTAGTTTCCCATGAAACGTATTTCCATGTGAACCCCCCAAAAACTGCTGACTTTGTGATTTGGTATTGTGCTCCTAAAATTAACACTGCTAATGAAGATGTCACAGAAAAAACTAAGTCAAGTGGAGGCAACACGTGTTGGCCTCCAATGACAAACCCCCCTAGTAGGTGAGCAAGAAGCTATGTATAGCATGGCTGTAGAGGATGAAGGAAAATCTTATATTTTAAGCAATCATGATTGTTTTATTCCATTTAAAATATTTACAATTACATTCACTGAAAAACAAATATTACATAATTGTTCCTCTTAACATGTAACTCACATATTGTGCCTGTCCTGATGGCCCTAACTTTGTTTGCACCAATAAAAAATGGAAAAAAATTGGGTTGTGTTTGCATGAAGAGTTCACACATGCGCATGTGAGTGGGGCTCGGAGAGAGCACCTGTACTGTCTGCTCTCGGCAACACGAAAATAGTTGAGTAGGACATAATATTTTCACCTTTCTCATTTAATATCTTATTATTTGGCACATTTTGCCAGTACATTGCTGATTGACAGACCACCTAAATCAGTCATCTCCCCAGTCACTTCCAAACTGTAATTCAAATTTAAAAGTTCTTATAACATTTGTGATATGTAGCAGAAAGATGAAAATCATGTACTTGTTCTGTCAAATGAGGCAGAAATGGCAGCATTAGTGGTAGTGTGGATGAGAACTCTGCCTTGAATTGGGCCTTAACAATAATCTAAGGCAGAAAGCAAGCTTTCCACCTATTTTCAGGCAATTTCTGATTGTCCTGTGTTGCTCTTTTATACAATGTTCAGGTTCTCATTGTCAAGCATAGTGGCATGTTTTTGTATGTCATCGACTCTTGATCTTGTCTGTATTGAATGTTCTTGATTCTGACAATGAACCTCAGAGGTCAGTATAAAGACAGCCTAAATGTAACTCATTGGTACTAGCACAGAATTGTGCTGTGCAAAGGTGGTGTAGTTATTAAGGTGGTACTAATGAGACATTAGGTAAGTGGGGAGAGCAATTGTCACTTACAAAAGGAATATGCTTTGCAACCGTATGGATACAAATTATGCTTGAACCAGCCTTAAGTGACAGGTCTGAGGAGTGTGTTTAAAAGCAGCAGCTCAGTAATTGTACCCAATCATTAAAGAGTCGGATAATTCTCCATCCTATGAGTTAATAACACTGAAAAGCAGTTCAATAATGATCGTCTTGTTTTTCTTATTGTTTTGGCAACATGCCTTAATATTTTAATACCTTAGAGTAACACCAGTTCTGCCAGTAGTGATATCCTCTATCAACACACTTGAAATTAGTCATAATATACCACTTCAGTCAATACAGTATTTGTTGCTTTAGTACTAGAGCACTATTCCATATGCTCAAACTTTGGCTGTGTTCCTTTTACACAAGGTTTTGCCAATAGTTCTCAGAACCATAACAAATGTTTGGATTCTTGAATAGCTGTGATGTCTTCAATGCTATCACAGGAGTCCATTTTGCAGCATCAATGTCTTATAAGCTCATGTAATGTAGGTTTTCCAACGGTTAATTTTAAAGCATTTGTTTCTAGGATTTTCTCAATCAAGGACAGATGCTCTATTTATTTAAAACAATTTTAAAGCTAAGTAGTACACTGATGTTTAAACTATCTTTGTTTAACACTGCCAAGTTTCAGTGCTGGATTTATCAAATCACTAATTTTGGCTCAGGATAATTTATTTGTTCATACCACTGAGGACATGACTGTCACTTAAAATTTAATTGCTTTTGTTTAGTTATATATTGAAAATATGACTTAAAAGATATTTGAAGTGATTGTGAATGAAAATTTATAATAACTGCAGAAATAAACACAGATTTTATATCAACAGAAAACATCTTGTGAACCTTAAGGTAGGGGAATACCATCTGTGTGTATGGATATTTGTGGTTATTTGATAGTATTCCATGTTGACTGTTAAAGGGATACTCATGATCATAATTCTGAGAGATGACTGAAGCAAATTTCATTTTGCCACTTTAGGGGACATAATTTTGATGCCTAGAGTGAGAGGGAAGGTTATCTGAGAAGAGCAACAGTGTTAGATGAACTTGTATGGCAGGACAGGTTGTGTGAAGTCACTGGAAGACTCCAACAATTCTAACTACAGTACTGTACTGTACTGCACTTGGATAACAGGTCAGCTTCTAAGTTTTCACTGCATATGACAAATTTAATTTTAGTCTACACAGGGAGCTCGTCATTGGTAATTATTAGTATTATATCACTGCAGGAGCTTTGGGAGTTTGATAATTGTTTAGAAACGGTCCCTACGTCTTGAAACATCACATAGCAAATGAAAATTGCTGCTCGGTTGTTCATCAGCTAAAACAATCTTATTAAAATGCAGTCACTGCTTATTATTGTATTACAGAAAATACAGTGTTATAATTTACAGCATCTTGGCATTCAGATTCAGAAAGTTGTATTGAAAATGAAAACTGAAAATTATTAGTACAGTATTTGAGTAATGAGAGATTGCAGTGAGTGCTTAGAAAATATAATACATACAGCATATGCAGCCACAAGATGATGACAATATCATAATATAATTGGACCTTTGTATATAAACATTTAAGTAAATAGAAAACTGAATTTTTTTTAAAGGATATAAAAATGCTAGTCTCACTATTTCTACCTAATACAAGTGTAAGTCATGGTGTTAATTTTGATTCAGTTCCAATCAATTTCAGATGTTTTATTTAATTATTTGTGATATATCTAAAAAGCGCCCCTTTTAGAGCCATTAATTTATTAGTTGTCTCTGGTACTTCGGTCAAGTTCAGGAATCATTGTACTGTAATAATCTTGCAAATGAACTGAATGTTGATGAATAACATTTCTACTGCAGAGAATTTCTTAGCTACTTTGCATTGTTTCATGCCCATCAACATTATTTGCTTATATGCTAATTCATATTTTTACACCATACTGTATTTTAATTAGATCAACTGAGTATAAATAAAATTTGAGTATACAGTACAGTATTTTAATATGCTGGCCATCTTGGCTCTTCTGCAAGGCTGATAATTAACATATACTGTAGTTAGAGTAAACACTTATCATTTGTCAAAACAGAATACTGTACTTTAATTTAGTAATAACTTGTAATAGATATTCATTTTTACTGCTGTTGTAATTGAAATGTTACCTAGGTTCAATATACAGTATATATGTGGAGATCTGGTAATGGTACACAACTATTATGATGACTTTATTGGACTATTGGTCATTACTACTTACTAGTATCTGGTGTATGAGCATTAATGTTAAATATTTAGTAAGTTGTTTATTCATTCTTCTAGCAAAATTACAGTAATTCATTTTGTAAACAAAATGTAGCCGTGAATGTATCAGTGATAGGGTCCCCTTGTCATTAGTGTCTATTGAGTACATCGATAATGTTCTTCCACTTGAGAAAACAATGTAAATGTTTACTGTGGTTCATAATCTCCCTCAGTAATATATACAGACCTCTACAACTTAAACACTTAAATTGTATTGTGGTTGACAGTTGTCTGACATTTACCACAACTGTATCTCTACCATCTTACATGTACACTGTATTTAAAGTTTTTGTTTATAAATACTACAGTGATTTGATTATGTGATCCGCTACAAACACCACTGTCACATTCTTCTATGCATTATGTAGTATGACTAAACATAACAATATTGCAGCTATTAACTTTGTATATTATTATTTAAAAATCTGTAGCCTTCAGATATATTAGTGTAGTAAGTATGCTACAAAATGCAGATCTGTTATACAAGTTGGTCATTAAATATATATTCATCTTCTAGACATTGCATACAACTACAAAGTTTACAGATGCTAAATATACAATATAAGGAGGCTGAAATAATAATTTTGCCATGGTGCAACAGAACATTATGCACATATATTTAATGATTTGGTGCCAGAAGAATATGTTTACAAAGATGGTTGTATCTCAATTAAGAGACATTAATAATGTTGAACAGCAGGTAGTGTGTATTGGTGAACAGCGGGTAGTGTATATTGGAAGAGAATTCAGTCATGAAAAATAATTAAACCTTGCATTTTATGAGAAGTACGGTATATTGAAATAACAAATTTCAGCCAATTTTTTTTTACACCTGCTAGAGGAGGAGAGTGAGGGGTTTAGGCAGAGGCTATCCTGATAAAACTTTAGACCCTGCAACCTTCACACTGAGTTTCAGTGTATGTACAGTATTGTGATGGTGTCATGATGGTCATTTGTTTCAAATATACCAGACATTTTCACATAAAAAGTTCAGAGATGCATTAATGCAATTGAAAATTATTGCTGGTAGCAGTGTGAGTAAATTTCACAGTAATATTTTATTTAATTGAAGATCAATATGCAGTACCTGTACATACTGTTGGGAGGGAGGCTTTGAACATGTGTCCGAGCCTGCCCTTCGTTATAATTAAGTACAGTACCGTTCTCCCACCACTTGCCACATACAAGTAGAGTGATTTATATTGATTATCATATTCTTGAGCTTTATTTAAGGTGAACAGGCATATAAAGTGTCAGGATGTCTGGGATGAGCCTACTGACGATATCGAGATATGACTTGACTCAAGTAGCAGGTGAC